ATGACAGGAAGTATGGATCTAAATCCTATATACTGGCCGTTGTCTCATGCGCAGTTCAGAGGCAGTCGGCAAGCATGGCGACAACTGGCAAATTGCCTATCACAGGGGTGGAACCCCGATGCTTCGAAAATTGTTCATGCGGTGAGAGAATATTCACTTGGGGGCAGCACGACTGGTCGAAGGGATCAGTGATTGTAATAGACAAGTATTTCTCTCTCCTCCTCGAATTGGTGTAATAAATGGGAAACTTACCGGCTGTTGCAGTATGCATCTGCTTTTGGATCTCAGGCTCCAGCGCATTGACCACCATCTGAATATCCTCCGCCGGCAGCGGAGCTGGGATGGCGATCTTGGTGACGGTGTAGATCGGATGGGGCGACTTGAATCGCCGGGTGCCCCACAGTGACCCCGACAGACTGACATCGATCGCACAAGACACCCAGAACGGCTCGGAGGCATGCTGCAGCAAGGTGGTCCGGTTGCTGCTGCAGGACTCGAGAGTCAATGCCAACTCTGAAGATAATGGTGGCTCAACGGCCCTGGTCTGGGTAATCGTCAAGGGCAGGTTGAAGATGTTTCAGCTCCTGCTCGCCAGCGATCGGGTCGATGTCAACATGAGAAACAAGCAAGGACGGACGCCTATTACGTACGTGATCGAGCATGGGCGATTGGATATGACAAGTCTCTTGCTCGCAAACCAGGCCGATCCGGTTCCCAAGGATTCCGGGGGCTGGACCCCGTTATTTCGGGCGGCTGCCCACGAAAGACAGTCAATTGTCGAACAACTCCTTGGGATCAACAATGTGGACGTGAACGCCATGGATGCTTCGGGTCGCACAGCGGTCGTTGGACTGCAAGGAAACGCGCCCAGCTTCATGGCCACGATGCAGTGGTTCAACTGCTGGATGAGCACCTTGCTTCAACCCAGATGACATGAAGTCCGAGGCCATCATAAAAAATACAAGGCGAAGACGATCAGGACTGGATGGATAGATTTCGTCGCCTGATGGAACTTATCAATGAAGCACAGGAGTCCGTTGCGGGTTTTTATGTAGCAGTATAGTCATCTTTTCGAAGACGCTGCACATCTTTCTAGCACGACCACTTCTTGGGAGGAATCAAGCTTCTAAGGAAATATCTTGTAAAGCGGAACAAACGATAGCCTCGCAGCACCAGCTTAATCCCAGCGAAGGGACAGACCTCACCGCTGCCACTTACTCCTACTCCCCACCCCACCCATCCCCACGAACGCCTCAACCCTAACCCAGACCACCGACATCGTCGCCGCAAACAACAGCGCACTCACAAGCACCGACATATTCCGGAACGCCCCGGGGGTCTCACTCCTCCCACTCCGAATTAAGACCCCGCCCACAGGCGTCCCAATCATCGTCGCCATCCCGCGCACCATATACAGCACCCCATTGACAGAGGCAAAGTTCTGTGCCCCGAACAACTCAACCAGACTCGCGGGGAAGAGCGAGACGTACGCACTGGCAAAGATGCCATACAGCACGGTGAACGTGATGAACAGATCCTTCGACTCGGTGGTCACCCCCGCGACCGTGGACGGAAGCCAGAAGGCGACGGTGGAAATCGCGCTCAGCAGGGTGGTCAGCAGCAAGGCATTCAGCCGTCCCATGCGGTCAGCCAAATACCCAATGACCACCTTCCCGACGGCGTTACAGGCGTTACTTAACGCAATGAAATTGGCACTGGCAGCCGTGCTATACCCCAGGGTCTGAGCGTATGAGGCATAGAAGAAGACGGGGGTGTAGTATGCGGCCGCCTGGAAGACCGCACCCAGGGCCTGGGCGATGAAGCGGCGGGAGCGCGCCACGCGCCAGTCGACGAGGGGCACCTTCAGCAGGCCGTGGACGCGGCTGCGGCTGCTGCGAGCGGAATTCTCGATCTCGATCTGCGTGCGCGTGCCGGGCTCCCAGGCCATGGCGCTGCTACTGGCCGAGATCAGCGTGAAGGAGACGGCCCCCGTCAGGCGGAGGGTGTTGCGGAAGCCGAGATGCTCGACGCAGGCGGTTAGGGCTGGCGCCCACACCAGCCCGCCTACCCCGGTGCCCGCCAGGATGATCCCCATCGCCAGTCCGCGACGCTGCGTGAACCAGCCCGGGGCGATCGTCACTGCTACCATGTAGCAAAGACACGTTCCAATCCCGTTGAGGACTCCCTGCGCGAGCTCGAAGTGCCACAGCCGCTGCCCGAAACTCGCCAGCACGAGGGATAGCGCGAATACGAACCCGCCCACGAAGGCGACCCCGCGCGGCGGGAAGGCTTTAGCCCACGCCACGCTAAATGGGGCCCCGATGGTCATTAGCGAGCACGACACAGTCCCGATCAGGTCGATTTCGGCCGGCGAGGCCCCTGTGAAGGGAGTATTGGGTTGGTGGGACAGGTTCTCGTAGAGGGCTTGGTAGACGCCCCAGGCGAAGTTGAGGCCGCAGCAAGTGAAGATGATGGTGAAGGAGGAGAGGACGATGATGATGAATTGTCTGGCTGGTGAGCTTTGGTCATTGGGAGGAAAGCAACTAGAGCTTACTTCTTGGAGGTTTGATGAGGAATAGTCTGATTGAGAGTCAGGGTTGGCGGCCCCGCAGACCGTCTCCCAGTGCTTCTCGCGCTAGACACGGTGGATAACTCGATACTTTGGTGCTCCACCAGAGCGTCTCCGGAGGCGTGTGGTGGAGGCATTGTTATGTCACGGATATACCTCTTCGATGTAGTTTTGAGCCTACCCTGTCGAAGAGATTCGGCAACCGTAGGCTATCTACTCGAGCGTTAAATGAGTTGTATGTCGATCAGCAGAGGAAGAAGTGCGGGAGGGTGATATGACTCAGACGGCTATTCCCGCGGGGGAAAACGGCGAGACACGGCTATGCTTGCATGCAGCTTATTATTAGGGCTAGTAGAGCATCGAATTGTATACTCTCGCTTAGGTCACCTGCATCTTACTCATGAAAGGGGCACAATGTCTGTTCCAGCACTTCCACATTGTTGTACAATATTTAGATGACAGCGGGAGGAACGTTTGACTCCGCTGGCTGGCTGGCTGGGCAGTGCGATGCTAATATAAGTATTTCTAGCGTGTTGTGGGTCAGCACTCGGTATACTATAGAGTCAGTGGTATCAGATTTTATCTTGCTCTATTAGATTCAAAGAATAAAGATACACATTTGCTGCCGAACTCGGAAATCAAATCCACCCCCTCCATACCCAGTCTAGAACCATCTCTAGTCCAGGCTCGACGTCATCGGTCAAAACAGCCTCGGCTCTGCTGATTATCTTATCAGCTCCGATTGCCGAGCGGGACCCACCGCCAGGAATTTTTCTCCCCTGAAAATGGCCCCAACCCCCTTGAGGCGCTGTCGATCATTCTTCCGGCTTCAAGCCCTTGCATTCCCTCTTTGTGTTTTTCTGCCTGTTGTGCCAATTTCTACAGCGCTGCACATTCCTCGCGATGGAGGCCATTCGCTCATTCGCCAGCTGCCTCTGGGAGTCGGCTACCTTCTGGAAAACAACTGCCCTGGTTCTGGCCTTGCTGAACCTTAAGACGTTGCCCCTGGTGTGGCATGTGAGTGTCACTTTTCGTTCCTGACAACCTGCCAACCACCTGTCACTAACTACCCTCCGTGCTGCGTAGATCCGCGTCTACCGCTACTTCTTCAAATATGGCTACCTGATCACCCCGGCCGTCGAGCAGCCCGCCCGCCCGAGCACGGAGATCCTCAGCCCGCTCAGCATCTACTCGCGGGCGCCCGTAATGGAGATCGACTTCAACATGCACAAGTCCAACTCGACCTACTTCTCGGACCTAGATGTGTCGCGCACGGCGCTGATGTCCAGCATCGTGGTCAAGGGGGCCGCCCTGCTGGAGAAGCGGCTGGAGCAGCAGGGCAAGAAGGGGTTCCTGGGGTTCATCCTGGGCAGCGTCTACACCAACTTCAAGCGCGAGATCCCCGCCTACACCAGGTACGAGGTCAAGTCGCACATCGCCAGCTTCGACCAGAAGTGGATCTACATCGTCACCTACTTCCTGAAGCCCAGCGGCAAGAGAACCGGCGAGGAGGATCCCGAGAAGCTGCTCAAGCGCCTGTACGCCGTCTCCATCAGCAAGTACGTGCTCAAGAAGGGCCGCTACACCGTCCCGCCCACGGACGCGTTCGAGGCCGCCGGGTACACCCCATTCTTTGCTGCTGCCGCGGAGACGAATGGCCATGCGACGGGCGCGCAGAACGGCCATGCCAATGGTGAGGCGGTGCAGCGCAAGGAGGGTCCGGCGGGAGACTCGGAGGAGTGGGAGCGGTTGAAGACGGAGATCGATCGCGGACTGACGGTCATTCAGCCGATTGTCGACCAGGAGGAGAAGCTGTTGCAGGATTACGTGCAGAAGATGAGCCGTCCTGGGTTTGCCTAGGGGGGTACGAGGTGAAAGTGAGATTCGAGATGGGGTGCATATTAGCCGGTATATAGACTAGAGTATTGTTCAGCATATGATAGATATAGATTAGATGGAATGCATGATTCTGCAGCAGTAGAAGAGTCGATGCCCGTGCAGTGCCAGTGCTGATGCCTGGGTGTCTACTCCGGAGTACTCCGGAGTAAGTGCCTGGAATACCAGATATCTCGAGATTGATGCCTTGCGACCCGGAATTGCCGAGGCGTGTCTTTGGCTGCCTGCGGATGCCTGAATCGCCAGGTATCACACATCGATGCTTGGCGGCCCACCAATGCCGAGTGATGCCTGGAGATGCCTGGAGGTGCCTGGAGGTGCCTGGAGGTGCCTGGGGTGCCTGGCAGGCAGAGACTGGGCCAAAAAAAGGGGTCAAGGCAGCGACCCCCCGAACACCCCGTTCCTGCCTCAGGACTCCCATCCCGGCTTGGATAAAAACATGCAACAACCAACTCGATACTTATTGAGTAGTAAATCCTTGCTACCACAACTCCATCACATGTACACTCGTTTCTTTACTAGCATTGCAGCAGCCATGACCACTTCACCTGCACGGATCGAGCTCCCAGGCTACGGCCTTCCATTGAACCACCCAGTCCCGGTATTATGCCTCACCCAGCCCATGATTATATTTCACTCTCAAGCTAATAAACCCAGGCTAAATATTCCTTGAAAAGAGTAACACTGCCCAATGCACTGGATAGCAAAGATATTTATGACGGCTACATCGGGTAAGCATCTGCAACCAAGTACCACACCAAATGTAGCCGTCGCCGACTAACAGTCCGCTCAGCAATCTCCTCGTCCACCGCGAGATCCTCATGCTGCAAATCATGAACACCATCTCCGAGAAGCCCAACTGGGACCGCAAGGTAAATCACCAGCCAGTCCGAGAGAAACGCATTCTAACCCCTGCTCAGGTGTTCGACGAGGAAATCACGGCCAAGTGGCGCCAGGAGATCGCCGAGGCCGGGCAAGACGTCACCCCCACCATGGTCGACGCGATCATTGCCGAGATGAGGTGGAAAGCAAAGGTGCTGCAGGAGGAGGGGACGTTCGCCGTCTTCGATCACGTAGGGGTCGTCCGGTCTGACACAGCCATCCCCAAGGACCTTCAGCAGGCACTGCGGGACGCCGTAGCGCCATTGGAAGACATCCCCGAGGAGGCGAAAGACTACCACCCAGGCTCAGACAACAAGGTCCTCGACTTGGTGCATCCCTCGCTATTTCCGCTCCTCTACGGCCGCACGCGCATCCTGCCGGACGGCACCATGACCGTGGCCAACTGTCTCGAGCACCTCGGCCACGGAGATGTGTTGCCCGTGCCCACGGACGAATCCAAAGGCCAGGGCCGCGATCCGCACTGGCGCTGGATGTCTTCGGGCTACAAGGTCTACAGCCAGAAATTCCAATGGCTTCCGTGCGACGTGGAGTTTTCTGACAACGACGACTGCCGCATCGTCTCGTACATCAACAACCTCCACCCGCAGCGCCATCAGAGCCTGTACGCGGTCGTCGAGAACGTCATCGCCCGCGCCATCCCGCAGTGGAACAAAAGCTTGACCAGAACTCGGCAGCACGAGAATGTCCGCATCCTCTACGACCGGGTGGAGTACCTGGACCGCTCGACTCCGGAGCCACAATGGGAGAGCGAGAAAGAAGACGAGGAGGGCTATGAGGATGACTATCAGCAGCGCTCGGATGCATGGTGGAAGGCGCGCCCCATCAAGCTCCCCGAGCCTCGACCCACCTTCGTGCCTCCGAAGGTCTCCTACGAGGGGCCGATGGATCTGCGCGACAAGTTCCGCGAGACCGGGCTGCAGGTGATCGTCAAGCTGGCGAACATCGAACTGACGCCCGAGAAGCCGACCTACGAGGGCGGGTCCTGGCACATCGAAGGGCAGCTGGTACGTCCCTTCCCTCACCTCAATATCAAATGATGCTAAAGCTCACTTCCACTGTAGAATGAACGCATCTGCGCCACAGCGATCTACTACTACGACAGCGCGAACATCACGGAAAGCCGCCTCGCCTTCCGCCACCGGGCCCAAACGATCTACGACATGGGCTACGAGCAGGATCGGCACGAGTTCATCCACGCGGTGTACGGGTTCAGCGCGGACGTCGATGGCCACAACGACAGCGCGCACTTCACGCAGGACCTGGGCAGCGTGGTCTGCACCGAGGGGCGTCTGGTCACTTTCCCGAACACCGTGCAGCACCGCGTGGCGCCGTTCGCGCTGGCGGACCCCACGAAGCCGGGCCATCGCAAGATCCTGGCGCTGTTCCTGATCGACCCGCACCGTCGGGTGATCTCCACGGCTAACGTGCCGCCGCAGCAGGCGGAGTGGGCGGGTGACCAGGGGGCGTTGGCGCAGGGGTTGATGACCATGGAGGAGGCGAAGTCGTATCGGTTGGAGTTGATGGAGGAGCGGAGTGTGTTCCAGGACAAGCAGAATGACGCATTTGAGACGGGCTCGTTCTCGCTGTGTGAGCATTAGGGGTATGCCAGGGTGAATGTAGTGTACATGTACACAATGAAATTATTCTGACAGCTTGAGGAGATACAGCCGGATGGGTTTCAGAGATAACTGTGCACCGTGCAGCGCAGGTAATCACCACTTGTTGTCGGGTCTATAGCCTTTCACTTGGCTTTAAGCATCGTCGTGATCCATAGTCTGCAATTGAAGGAGTCAGGTTCAATTCCCTACACACTGTTCTTCTTCAGCTACATAGCAAGAAAGGCCCTGGATGATATTTCCATGCCTGGAGTAGAGTATTAAGACGACTGAAGAAAACTCTATACAGCAAACCAAGAACAGATCAATCTGGTATGTGACAAATATATACCCCACACGCCAACCACAGCTGCAGCCTTCATCCCTGACTTGAAACGATATCAAATCGGTGCCTCCTCCACCCTCTCAACCACGCCCTTCACCCCCATCGCGTCGAACCTCCCACCCTCTCTTCCCTAAACCCTTACCCTCACCCCTCCCTCCAAACCTCCTCCATCTAGCCCATCCACCCCCTCTCCAAATGCCATTCCCACCCCCGCCACCCCCAAAATCTCCTCCACGCGCCGATGCGGAAACGCGACCCCAAGATTCCACGGAAAAACCAAATGCACCCAGCGATGCATGCGACAGACATAGGAGAATAACGCCCCAGTCAACACGCGATACTCCCCTTTACAGGCCACCCTCCCCAGCCCGCCCAAATACACCTCCCCGATGACCCGCATCTCCTCCAGCCCCAGATCGACCAACATATCGAAGGTATTGAAGTTGGCCACCAGGAACTCGCGGGTCATGCGCTGCACCACGGCCAAGGGGAGGTCGGGGTACAGCGAGATCTTGAGCAGACGGTAGAGGACGTCGCCGCCCAGATGCAGGAGGAAGGACCTCAGGTGCACCAGCACGGAGAAGTACTGGGCGCCTGTGCCGGCGCCGCTGGGGATTACCCCCCATTTGATGCGGTGGATGCTCGGGGGCATGTGCTGCCAGATGGTGGTGGTTTGTGTGGTTATGGTGGTGAGGGCTGAGTGCCATGTTTGGGGCTGTGGAGGGGTTGTGGTTGGGAGGGGTTTGTCGAGGGGGCGGGAGTGGTTGTTTTCGGGTCCTTGGGGGTGGTTCCCCGCCGTGAGCGTGAGGTTGTGCTTGGGTGGGCTGTGAGGGTCAGGATGCAGGCTAACGTGGATGGTGAGGAGGGAGTGGCGCGCGCTGGCGACGGTCTGCTCGTACACCAGACGGCCCAGCTGGACGAGGGCGGGCAGGTCCGCCGCCTCGACGTCGGCCACTTTGTTCACCGGCGCGCTCTCGGTGACGCGCCCGTAGGTCAGGCACAGCGAGCCCCCGACGGCGTTGAGATAGACGGCCCCCGGGTGTCGCGGGACCAGGTGGTCGCGGCCCAGGTGCACGATGCGCGTCGGCAGCCAGAAGGCTTCGCCGGAGATGACGACGTGGCCCAGCGTGCTCTGCAGGGGCAGGTGGGCGACCAGCTGCGCGGCCACGTCCGGGTTGTCCGCGGCGAGGAGCTTCGCGCGGATGGAGAGGGCCGCTTCGGGGCAGTGGAAGTATAGCAGCTGGGGGGTGGACATGGTAATTCGGTCGGGGGTGCGAGTGATGAGTTGAGGAGTAGGGCTTCGACATGAACTGAGGGTGCTGTGTTCTCACGACCCTTGGCGCTATTTAACTATATGCTGAGATCTGGTCAGCCCCGATTGAAGAGAATCATGTTCTCCTTTTCCCTGGATATCTTAAGGGGTGATAGGTGAAGGTATTGGTGTCTGTGTAGTGTTGGACTGCACACTGCCAGTTGACCGGTCTAGGCCTTGCCGGGAGCCCTAACTCGATGTCTTGGATTTTTGGGTTGAGGCACGGGCCTCCACGCAGTCTTCCAGCTCCGTTGAGAGCCTAATGGGATCATAGCGTCTGCACAGATATCTCCTCGGCTTGCCTGTCTCCAGCTGCGACAAATGAGGCTTCGGGTGTACGAGCGGTGGTCAATTCCTCCGTCGGAGGTAGCCGAGTCCAGGATGGGCCAACACTGACGCTCGAATGGTTTATGCTACGGATCAAACGGCATGGAGGGAGATTTGAGGAAGAAGAGCAGACTGCGAGTAGCCAGGTCCTCGCGCAACCCAGTCTTCACGATTTGGGATCCTTGTCTGACCTTGCACTCGATATATGTACATTGTTGAGGCGGCAGCATAATCATTAGCCGCTGAGCAGGATATTCTATCTTTACCTAGCTATGGAGAGTATGATGGGGGTGCCAATGGTATAAATTGGGGAGAACTGCAGGACTCGGTCTAGGCCAGGGGTGCTATCCTCTGCAGTGGTGGCATGCAGATTGATTCAATTGCTCTAGACTCTTCGAGTGGATGTCCGTTGCCAACTCAGGGGCATTTGAGACATGGGTTCTTACAAGCTTCAATAGCCCCCGTTCTTAGTCGGGATTTGTCGGGTCTGTGGGGTGGTCAGGGTGACCTTTCGGTCCGTGCGTAGAGAAAGATCAATCGTCAGAGGCAGCAGAGTCGTGCTGTTTCAGAAGCAGAGAGTCAGAAGCAGAGAGATGACGGTAAAGGGGGCGATGTCTTCGCGTTATTCCTTTGCTGTTGTTGGGGTGGCAGTATCGGCATGGCAGCAGGGATAAAGATAGGGGGGCGGTTAAGGTTGGGGATTGCGAGTACTCCATAATCTGATCGCACGATGTGCATTGACTGACCTTTCAATGCGCGTTCCCTACTCTCTTCCTGTGCAATGGCCCGACCAGAAAAGGCAACAAGCAAAAACACATGTCCCCAGGGAGGATCGAACTCCCGGCCTTGGGATGTCCTGGAAGTGCGACTTCCAAGTCATATTTGCATATGAGACCCACGTGATAACCACTACACCATGGAGACCGCTTGTTGAAGTCGGCAAAAATGTTGTCAATATGGACAGGGGTGAAGCGGAGGCACAACTCCCGACGATCATCCAACAACACCGACCCATCTCAGCCAACTAACTATACACTCGGGACCACAACACTCCACCATCTCACTACTTTGACTCGCGTATTCGGGAAGCTACTAGTAGTCAACATACTTCAATATGGCTGAGATATCGCCTCGTCACCTCCAAGCGAGCCACGCATGCACTGTTGACGACGTGAACGAGAGATATATAATTTCCACCCGTACCGTCCCTGACCCATCTGCAAGCGAGCCCTGATACAACCCCATTCCTACCCACGTCTTTCCCTGTCATGGCCTCTCCACCACCCCGCGTGCAACGCCTCCAATCCCAGATGACAGCCCACAACCTCGACGCCATCATCTGCACCCAACCCACCTCATCCTTCTACCTCTCCGGCTTCAACCCGATCATCTATTCCGACCCCGTCCTGGTCATCCTCCCGCGGCAATCCGGCCCCATCCTCCTGGTGCACGCCCTCCGCAGCACGCACGCCAAGTCCAGCGCCTGGACGCCCACCATCCACCTGTACGGCACCTGGGGACCAGCCCCAACCCTCGCACCGACCTGGCCCGTCGCCCTGACCACCCTCCTGGACGGCTGCGACCTCCCCACGCACCCGACCATCGGCATCGAGCACGACACCCTCCCCGCAACCCAACACACCCTCCTCCGCCACACGCTCCCCACCGCCACGCTAACCAACTGCACGCCGCTCCTCCACGCCAGCAGGGCCATCAAAGACCCCGATGAGATCGCCCACACCCGCATCGCAGCCACCCTCGCCGAGAAAGGGATGGAATCCGCCATCGCCGCACTCGCGCACCCCAGCACCAGCGAGCGCGACGCCGTCCTCGCCGCGCTGCAGAGCATGCACGCGCACTGGGCGGCCCACTACCCCAGCGTCGAGATCTGCGACTTCGGATCCCCCGAGGGCGGGGTCAACAGCGGGTTGACGGCGTGGGTGCTCTCGGGCCCGCGGCAGGCGTTCGGGTGCGATAACCCGCTTCCCCGGGTCCCGCGGCCCGGGGAGAGTGTCTCGGTGTTTGTGTGGGCGGTGGCCAACGGTATGCACGCGGAGCTGGAGCGCACGGTCTGGATCGGCGAGGTGGGGCTGGGGCTGGGGCTGGGGGGTCTTTCGCCGTGGCGCGCGATGCGCGATGCTCTGGATATCCGGGCCGAGGTGCTGAGGCTCCTGAGGCCCGGGCCGGCGGTGCGGGAGCTGTACCGCGCTGCTGTACGGGGGTATGAGGTGAGAGGGTACGCGGCGTATGTCCCGGGGCGGATCGGGCATTCGGTGGGGTTGGGGCCGCATGAGCTGTTTTTTCTTGAGGAGAGGGAGGAGAGGATGCTGCAGGCGGGCATGGTGGTTGCGGTGGAGGTCAATATTCTTGTCCCTGGAGCGGGGGGTGCGTGTGTCCAGTTCTCGGATACGTTTCTTGTTACCGCGGAGGGGTGGGAGCGGTTGACGCGGTTTGCGGAGGGGGTGGTGACGGTGAGGGCTGATGGGGATGTGACTGTGGTGTAGTCGGGGTTATGAGTCTACGAAGAAGTGTAGTGGGTTTGAGGTAGGGGTTCTCTGTGTGGAAGTGTTAAAGATTGTATCAATGGGAGTCACGAAGGTGAGGATTTAGATCGAGATCTTCCGTGTGAAAGTGTAAAAGTTTGTATGAATGAGAGTCACGAAGGGTAGTATATACATCGACCGTCAATCCCACCAACAGACACCAAGCCCTCCCCCGAGGCCCGACCCCATGTTCTGGATCCCCTCCCTGAGGGCATGCAGGCTACTTCCCCGATTCCACACAAACACTATGCCCCGTAAACCCACTATGCTGCGTCCCCCACGGATCAAACAGGGTGTCATCGGTCGAGAACCCCTCCTCCGGCGGGGGGTTCAGCTCGCGCTTGCGCAGCTCCGGGCTGGGCTGGCGCCACAGCCTCCTGCTGGCCCCGAGGTGGAACAGCGGCCGCAGATGCGAGAGACAGGCGGCGATGATCCCCACCGCGGCTTCGGTGCACGTCCACACCGCCACGGGGGCTTGGTTGTCTGCTCGCATGTCGACAGGTTAGCAGCCACACCGGTTGCATCTCGAGATCTAGGTTGGGGATACGCACAAGTGATATCCGGTCCAGTTTCGGTGATGTGGATCATCGCGACCAAGCGCACGATGTCGAAGATCAACGTTCTGCACCAGCCCGATCAGCACGTAGCAAATATCTGAAGTGAAGCAAGGGAGCACGTACAACACCCCCACCAAAAACACCCCCGACAGCAACGCCCGCTGCGTCTTGGCGATCGGCAGCGCCCAGACGCTCTTCAGCGGCATCACGAGCAGCACCACGTCCGTGACGATGTTGGGGATCTGCTGCCCGTAGTAGAAGGTCGCCGGGTCGATGCAGCGGCCGGGGATCTCACGGTGCCAGAACTTGGCCACGGGGACGCAGGACAGCACCCCCGCGACGCTGACGCCCACGACCCAGAGGACCACGGCGGTGGCCACCAGGGTCACGGCCACGGACATGCTGCGGGCGGCGAAGAGGCGCTTGTAGGAGGCCAGGATGGAGAGTTTGATGAAGGCGATGCACAGCGGGTAGACGAAGCCGTTGGACCAGCCGATCTATGGGTTGGTCAGATTGATGTGGAGGAGCTGTCACGATGAGGTGGGGCTGACCTGGAAGTAGACGTCCAGGTTCTTCTGCGGGATCATGGTGATGTGGGATCCCAGACCGTTCCAGAGGACTGGGTACAGTGGAAAGTGGTTAGATTCAGCGATCGGCCGGGCAGGGTAGACCTACGGATGACGACCCCGATTGAACAGCCATATTTGAAGATCTAAACCACGGTTAATCGAGGTCCAGGAGATGCGAGGTGAATGCCTACCAGCGCAACAATAATCAGATAGTCGTCCAGGTACAGGCGCGTGCCGTTGACTCGGCGCGCCACCAGACGCAGCACCACCGCGATTGTCGAGAGAGCGAAGGCAAACGGCAGGGCGATGATGACGGATCGTCGCAGCTGCTGGTTGGGATGGTCGAAATCACCCTCCGTGGGCTCGGAGGACATGGTGGGAGACGATGCGATACCGATCGTATCGGCGATGGCGGCTGCAGGTGATGGGTTGCAGAAGCGGTGGGTGGCGGACGAGATTTGGAATCATGGCCCGGGTCGCAGCGGACGGGCGACCTGATGAATATTTCTGCAGCGGCTGTTTTGGGGAGGTGACCAGGGAGTGGGGGATAGGGGCTTGCGATGTATCGCGATCGACAGGGACATGACGAGAGAGAGGGAGGCCGCGGGTGATAGATCAGATTCGTGGTGTTCGACAACTCCAAAGGTTGGTGGCTGTCAAGAATAACTGGATGGAGAGTGGAGGATAAACGTCGGATTAAGGTTGCGTATAGCCGCAATGGGACAATGGGTTGAGCAACCTGAGAGCCAGGCGCAATGTAGGGATGGCCCTTGCATTGTTGGAGGTCTGACTCGGCACAAGGTGCTGGGTTGAGTCGCGTGGCCGAAGGAAAGGGGACTCGACCTGTCAGATTCGCTTAGGAGGTTACATCTACATGTAACCCCCTCACTTGGAGAAGAGTGGAGCCCGGCATTAGTCGTACACTACCGAGCTGGCTCTAGGGTAGTCGGTTGGTCCGTCTCTGAGTTGGGTTGACGGAGTAGCTGACCGTACGTGTAACTTGAAGTTATTCTCTAGATGATTCTGTGTATACCTAGCAAGTAGGTACTAGGTAGTATATATCCTGGCCGAGCAGGGCTGGACCCATACACGTGACTCGACTGTGCACTGCATAGCTTACATAATTGACACGGTAATCCCCAAGTGCCGAATTATACTCCGTATTCTTTCACCAGTCCGGTCACCCCTGCAGCAGACCACCAATCTCAAGATGTACTGTACTGTACCGCTGTTAAACAGTACTAGTGCAACAAATGATGCCCCGTAATTACTCCGTGTGCTCCGCACCGGCCATGTGATGGATGCATGCATGCATGCATCGCAGCCTGGAGCCGAGGGAGAAGCCCGCCGCTTGGCAACTGGACACATACGTGTACAGTCCAGTAACTCCAAGGTTCTCCGCTCCTCGCTTTCTCTTTCTCTTTTTTCCCCTTCCCTGCGCTTAACTCCCACTTCCCCCCACACTCATTCCAACCACAATCCGCCTTGTGGGGAAATTCCCAACGTTGATCTCTATCTGGTCAAATTACCCGACCAATCTGCGATCAGTCTCGATCAGATCTACATAGTAGATTAGCGATAGATCCCATTCACCAGCATAGTACCCCGTCTACCTAAGATCCATCATGAGCGACGTCACCATCACGGAGGGGACCTTTCGTCTGCCGGATGGAGTGGAGGTCTACCAAAAGACCTGGTCGGTGAGTTGAACACCCTTACTACAGTATCTTACTTCAGTACACTATGTAGTTAGTTGATGCAGAACAGCTGACTCATCAACACATCCACACAGCCCACCAGCCCTCCCCTCGCCAAAATCGTCCACTTCCATGGCTTCAGCGACCACATCAACAACTACTTCGACCTCTTCCCCGCCCTGGCGCGACACGGCATCCTCTGCGCGGGGATCGACCAACGGGGCTGGGGCCGATCGGTGCACCGCAAAGCCGACCGCGGCAACACGGGGCCGACCCCGGCCATTCTCGCCGACATGGCCGCCTTCATCACGGCCCAGCAGCAGGTCGCCCCGACCGACATCCCCGTCTTCATCAGCGGCCATTCCATGGGGGGCGGGCTCGTGGCGACGTTCGCATCTACCCCGCAGTACCAACCGCTGGTGGCCTCGCTGCGGGGGATCATGCTCGAGGCGCCGTACATCGGCCTGACGCCGGAGCAGACGCCCAGCTCCCTCCTCGTCTTCGCGGGCCGGCTGGCCGGCCGCCTGCTCCCCCACTTCCAGCTCACGCAGCAGATGGTGATCGAGAATCTGGTGCGGGACCCGGCCGTGCAGGCGCAGGTTAAGAACGACCCGCTCAACCACCTGACGGGCACGCTGGAGATGTTCGCCAACATGCTCGACCGCGCCGCCGCCCTCACCGCGGGCAAGCTGGTCCTGTCCCCGGGCGTGCAGTCGGTGCTGGTCGTCCACGGCACGGGCGATCAGTGCACCAGCCACGACCTCAGCAAGCGCTGGTTCGACCAGCAGACCTCGCGGGTGCCGTCGACGCAGAAGAAGTTTGTCTCCTACGACGGCTGGAGCCATATCCTGCATGCGGATCTGCCGGAGAACCGACCGGTGTATGCGGACGATCTGGCGGGGTGGGTGCTGGAGCGCGCCGCGGAGAAGTCGGTGCGACTGTAAGTACGCACTTAGTGATGGAGAGTGAGTACTGTCCTACGTACGTGTAGTTAGCGTTAGCGAACTAGCGAATACCTATACTTAGATGATGGAAGGCACTGTGGCACTGCATGCCTGCCAGCGGGACAGAGTGGTACAGACCCGGGCTGGCTAACAACACACCCATCCCCTCTCACGTACTGCTAAGTACGAGCTCGAGCCTCCCATCTCATCTCGACCCTATATGCATTCTCGCTGGACTTTACTTTATGTGCAATCTACTACTCTATGAGACCCCCCAAACTCTACCCCATACTCGTCTCCAAGCACCGCACACGGCCAATCTGGTCCAGCCACGCGTCCTTACTCCGCCCCCAGATCGCCAGTCCCACCTCCCCGCAGCGCACGCGACTCGCCTCGTCTAACGTCCCCGTCTTGAGGATGATGATCTCGTCGTTGTCTCCCGGCTGCGAGGTGAAGGGGGTGCCGCAGTCCGCGCAGAATTGCCGGCGCACGGGGGGTCCGCGGTCGCTGTGGCCGAGGTACAGCTTGGGGGTGCCGGTGGTGAAGACCAGGGCGGCCGCGGGGACGATGAGGTTGGAGGAGAAGGCGGAGCCGGTGTAGCGCTTGCAGCTGGTGCAGTGGCAGAGGATGATCTGGGATTGGGGGGTCTGAGATTAGAAGGAGGCTCAAAGGGGACAAGTTCCATGGAGTGGATGGAGGCTGGGTGACTGGACAGTACCTTGGGGGCGGGTTCGGTGGGGGGAAGATCCACACGGTAGGTGATCTTCTGGCATAAGCAGCCCCCGGTGAGTGGGGTAGTGGTGGCCATGGGTCGGGGAGTAGAACCGGGGATGATGATGATAATGATGACGACGACGACGGTGGTAGTGTGGTGGTGGTGGTGGTGGTGGTGTTGTGGTGTTGTGGTGTTGTGGTGTTGTGGCCCAACTGAAAGTGCCGACCGGGGAGTTCAGCTTGCTTCAAGGTTACCGCCCTGGCCAGCCAAACTTAGTCACCGGACTGATACGACGGTAACTTAGCATCAATAATGTGTAGCATCAATAATACCTACGCAATAATACACCAAAGGGTCATAGTTATAAAGACCGGTCATTCTGATCACCAGCCTGGCCGTGTTCTTGCTCATTCGAATCTCATTTCTCATTTCTCGCCCTGCTCATGTGACCAAGTGTACTGTACGTACTGTACTCCATACTTCGTACGGTACGAGAAGATAAGCCTGTGGCGCAGACTACCCGCTGCCCGCGAGATGTGGCTCAGTTCTTAATGCCTCAGCGGTGGCGCAGCGCTCCGCTCTCCCGCTCCAATCAACACCGCCCGTCCGTGACTGTCTCTTCATCCTACCTACCACTAGGTATACCTACCTTATACACAACCACACTTCCATGATCATGCTCCAATCTGCATCTACGTTGAATGTCGTCAGTGCATCAGATCACCCTTCTCGCAAAGCTACGATGAGCTCTCTCAGAAGGTCAATCTTAACTGACTTCCTTAGTGAGTGAAGATCCGGCTCGATGAGACCAGACCGCCCTCGAAGTCTCTATTGTTCCACCCATGTTGACGAACATCGACAGCAAGTACAACCGGCTCAACGCGATTAAATCCACATTCCACAGACCGCGGAGGCTACCTACCGAGTCTACTTGACCTGGCGAGAAACATGCCACGATCGAAACACTTGTCCATCCAACGATCCAGGCTGCCCCAGACCGCACTACACAGGCCACCGCCAGGGGAACTTCACCTCGCTACACCCTCACACTCTACTGGAGATTCACCTCCTCTACCGGAGCACCGCCAAATTCCGAAAGAATTGACACACGAATGAATTTGTTGGGCGGGGGGTTCCCTGTGGGCTGGTACAACGCCCGACCATGATTTTGATCCCGCCCATCGTCGTGGCCGCGGGCCCGGTCGTGAATCAACCACTGCGCTTCCCTTGTTGTGATCCACGATCCATGCTTCCTCTCGCTGGATGTCCAGACCACTCATCAACCCAGGGGATCCTTGCCAGGGTCCTGGGAATCGATCCATACGACACAACAATTCCGCTGCGCGCCGCATGCATGGGAGGCAATCCGACGGCACCGGCCATCATCCGTACGCATCACGGCTAGCCAATCCAAGTGACTGGGCCGCGTACAACTCTGTCTGCGTGGTCGGGGAAATGCGTGCGACCTTCCGTCTCTCGCACACCGACGTCCTTGTCGTCGTCATCGCTGTCATCGACGCCCGTTCTGCTGACGGCCATCGTAACACAACCGACCCAGCTCAGCAGACATACCCTCGGATTGGCTGTATCGGGGAATTGCGGTGTGCTTCTCATTCCAGATCGGTGTGTGGGCTCATGTGCAAATGTGTGCCACCCCCGTCACCCCCGTCAAGCCGATACGCTGCGTCGCCCATTACCCCGCAACGTGAGCGATCTAGTTTTCATGATCCCCCCCTCCCGACCGGATCCACACTAGACTGAGATTGATGAGCATTTTCCGTGCACACTCTCGTGCAAATGCCGGGTTTCAACCTCATATCGAGTATCAATCCTCAGGCTCACCGACAGAAAGAAAAGACACCGGTCGGTAGGCAGGTAGACCTTGGATGGAGGCGCCAAAAAAGAGGGCTGGCTGGCAGACTGTGTGGCCGCTCTCTACCGCGCCTCGTTCTCTTCTCGATCCCTCGGTCTCCAGCTGGTGGCACCCTGGACTGAGACGTGGCTTTTCGCATGAGCTCACAAAGCAGTCATCATTTCAGAAGCAGAAGTCCCGACACTTGCGGTGAATAGGGAAGCGGGGTAGGCAAACGGCTCGATGTGCGTTGTTCGTGAGCCAGGCGAATCGCTCGCGGTGTTATCCTGGAATGCCTCGGAGAGCCACCTTGAGGTGGGCAGCGAATGCCATTTCCCATCCCACAATTCGCGAAAATGGAAAATGGCTGTGAGACCTCGGTACTGGAGTTTCTTGTTCTTGTCAGAAACTGCCGTTGGCAGAGGGGAAGTCGCTGGAGTTGAAAAGGCCGCCAGCGTGCCCACGGGCAGCTCCATCCGCAGCCTCGTCATCGATCTATCCTCGTTATTCTTTTTCGTCCATTCTGTCCTCGATTTCAAGCTCCTTCCTACAAGTTGCAGACCTGTTAGAAAAAATCGTGACACTGAGTGGAAACTCCCAACAACTCCGGAACGCGGAGTAAGTGGTCATCGGAGAACTGGCAGTTGAGAGCTTGGTAAACCCGCGTGGCCCGCATCATATTCAGGTGAGTCCTTTCCGATGACCTTCGCCTCTCGGCAATAGGCTAACTAGGAGACCAATATGTCGCAGAGGGAATTTGTGATCCTGGTTGACACCTCGGCAAATATGCTTGCCCTGCGCGACGCCCTCGAGAGCGACCCCGACTATAGCAACGTGGATGGGCAGGTGCAAGCCAATATTTTCGCTGATCCCATTCCCATCGTCATGGTCCCTCTCGACCAACTCGATCCCCGGCCATCTGTGAGGAACATGGCCTGTCTGCCCCAGATCAACCCAAAGGAAGCCCCGTACACTGACGCTGGATTGACCAGAGAAGAAATGGAGGCCTTGGTGGCAAGATACCGTCGCCAAGGAAGGGCTGATGAAGGTGTTGACGGAGGTTCTTTCCTCATTGGTTTCGGGGTCGCGACCGTCCTGCTCTGGGCGAGCGTGAGCTGGTTATGGAGCCTTGTCTTTGCTTGAGGGTATTTAAGCTTTTGGTTTCCTTTCTGGTTTTCTTTGGGCCTGGCTGGCTGTCTGTTTGTCTGTTTGTCTATCTGTTTATTTGTTTGGATGATTATTTGAACCGTACAAAGCGGGCTGGAGCTGGAAGATTGTGGATTTCGGAATTAAGTGAGCTTTATTATTTCAATCGATCTCGTGTTCTGTTCGTTCCGATTTCGTTCCGACACAAACACCACACTCATCCTTAGGGATTATCGGCACCGGCAAGTGAAATCACGGGGTGTAGATTATGAAAACAACAACTCGACAGACGGGTTGCTGGCTGATATAGGAAAAGAAAACTAAACTAGGGGAGGGAAGGAGCTTGCGAGCCGACTAAGGCCAAGGACAGTAGTGTCGGGACCAGGGATCGGTTCGCGCATGCTGCTTTGCATGCCTCTGCCATTCGACCCACAGGTGTTCTCCATGCTGCCACCATCCGGGACGCTGCACAAAACCCTCTTCCCGGAGAGATGGGGGGTTGCGGGTGGTTGAGCGCCTTGATGGCCCGTGTCGTCTTCTCGCGGTAGAAAGGAGAGGCCTTGGGGAAGAATCCGGCCTCTTTAAAGCGCCAGGCAAAGTCATTCAACACCGGAAAGGCAGTGCAGTGCTGGAAATTTTCACGAATGGGACAGTGCTCGAGCCATTCGCGAGGATACGGGCTGGGTTGCTCTTGATCTTGTCCCTGCTCCTGTTGGGGAGGCGAGGGCTTACATGGCCCGCCGTTTTCTCTCGCGAGAAAGAGGGCTTGCAGGTAATCCTGGAAAAGGGGGTGAAAGTCCTTCAGTCGGAACCAGTGGGGCTTCAGCCCCTTCAGGGTGAGCACCGCCTCCTCGAGGTGGTCATCATCCACCTCGACCAAGGTCTTGTTGACCATGAGTTGGGGCCCCGGAGCTCTTACCTGTCGGCGGGCTTCCTCCTCCCCGGTGCGGCCCGTGATGGAGCAGAAGATATCGCGGAGGGTGCGATCCCACTCGGTCCACCCATGCCCTTCCGACAAAGACCGCGATAGGTGGCTGTACAAGTACCGATCCTGGAAGCTGAGCCGGACCAGAGCCTCCACCATGCGCGCGGGGAACAGCATCGTGACAGCATAGGGTTCTTCCACCTCCCGCTCGAGGGCGACGTCGGTCGAGTCGAGGTATATGGGCATTTGCGCCTTCTCGTAGTAGCTCCCCCGCGAGCCCGGCAACGGGAGATGGAAGAAGTACTCCTCGTGGCAGAACAGGTTGAGATCGACGTGGCGCTCTTGTCCGGGGGCCGGCTGCAAGTGGAAGACATGGTCCGGCACCCACCAGGCGTCGAGCCACCGCGCCCGCAAATTCCAGAGGTAGGGGCAGGGGGCCCCAATGAAATGCGTTTCTCGAGACCTCCATTCGCCGCTGCGGTCGTGCTCGTTCGTCTCTTTCATCGTCACCTCCAAATCACCGATGCATCGGGGATGGTCATCGTCGAATTTGGCCGCGCGCAAGACCTTGACAGCATCCTCAAGGTAAGCCGCGGGGATGACCAGGTCAATGGAGTTGATGCGATTCTGGCAGCCATAGAACCGCCACATGGCATCGTTGATCACGTGAAGGGAGATCTTATTCCCCTTCAGCAAGTTGACGATTTCGGAAACGAAGGCCAAGGTCACTTCCTGGCCGTGATATTCGAAAGGCGGATTTCCCTTCTCCTCCTCCTCTTGTTTCTCCCCACTTCCCTCCAAGGATGGAGGTCGAGGCCGCCGCCGCCGTGCTGCGCACGTTCTTGTGCTCGACATTGGGCTTGATGGGGCATTGCTCTTGCATCCAACCATCATAGGGGCCCCAGAAATAGACCCCGGCCCCCGTATCGTAAGGTTTCGCCATGTTGCTGTTGCTGTTGGTGATTGTATGTGTGGGTTAATGGATTGGACGGGATGAAGTGGGCTCTGCAGCGGGTATTTATATTCATATTCATGCGAGGCAGTTGCCCCAGAGAGGCTTTTGCTGGCTAATCAAGGATCTATTCATGAGCAGGTTTAGGATTTGAGATAATCGCCACTCATTCTCCTTCTTCCTTTGACTCTGGTGTGGATGAATCGGAAGAAAGGGGGACGGGGTCTGCTCAATGGCCTTTGCTTGACACAAAGACGCACCTTGCCTGTGATGATGGATTCCTCCTGTTCTTTCTTAGTGACTCTTTATGCATTGAGTCCCATCTATTCTACGTAAGCCTCTCACACCCCTATTGAAAGAGGTTGGATTGCAGGATCGGTTGCTCCCGGGTGAGGATAGAAAGGTAGGCTGTGCGGCATTACACAATCAACCCGGCACCATGCATTGTTACCAAGGATAACAGCTCAACCATCTTTCTAGAACTTCTCAATCCGGGTTGGAAGGAGAAGACTGTTTATTTATGAAATTACTCAAGGTCACCGCAAAGAGAGGTCAGATAAGGTCCCAGGTGCTTGAGGACAAAGGTGCATTGTACGAGACGGTTGCAAGGACCTCTTTCCGCGCTTCTTATCCCGAGCCCTAAGACCGACGCGGTGGGAGCAGGAGATGGTGACCAAATCATACTTTGGGTAAGCCAATACCCTATTCTCCTGATGTTCTTGCCAGAGACCTTGTCTCGTTTCTATCATCTCCTGCCCCGGAGCCCTTCTAAAGTCCATCCGAAGCAGGATCCAGGCATTTCACGCAGAAGCACACACAGACAAACTCACACACACGTCCTGCCCCTCAAAAGTCCTGTGGCCTAGCATCCTGCAACAACTCCGGATGAAGCAGATAGAACGGACTGAGTTCCTCCACGTACCCACAGGCCGGATCACTCATGGAATACCCGATGAACCGCTGGGTCGCATGATCGTACTGCTGCACCACCTCCCGCGGCACCGCCAGGTACTGATTCTCTTCCTGGCGGAGGTAGCCGCGCACGGCGAAGGTCGCGTACGCGATGCGCCGTTCATCGCGGCTGGTGTTGGCTCCACCCCCGTGGTAGAGGGAGGAGAACATGATCAGGGCATCACCCTTGTCCAGCTCGGCCACGACACAGTCCCGCACGTCGGGCGGCGTCGTGCGGTAGGTTCCCCTGTGCGCGCATGAACCCAGAAATCAAAGTCATCAATATGGCTGCTTGTCGTGATGCCTTCGACCAGCCCAACGGGAAAGGCTTACCAGAGATGACTCCCCAGGATGAATTGCGTCCCCCCATTCTCTTTGGTGACTTTGCACCCCGCGACCATCATGCCCAGCGCCGTCTCGCGGGTCTGGTCGCGTTCATCGTCCCATGCCTCGATCTCCGGCAGGATATTGTGGTTGATGTACGAGTCGCGGTGCAGCGGCTGGGCCTGGGCCCCGGGCCCGACCTCGATCCCCGTGCACGAGGTCACGTACGGCCTGGACACGGACTCCTTCTGCTGGTCGCCCCACCAGAACACGCTGCGCGTGGTGAGGAAGTGCGCGCAGACGGCCTGGAAGAGGGGGTTCATCACCTGGGTGCGGGTGTAAGTGGGACTGAGGGCGATCATCGACGGGGCCCGTCGGGTTTCCTCTACCATCATCGTACTCAGCAGGTACAATCAGTTGAGGCTGTGGAAGATACAGCCCAGGGAAAGGAGACTCCTACTCGGAAAGAAGCTGCCGTTCCATTCGAGATCGCGGTGGAGTCTCTCCTGGACATCCTGGTTGACCTGGTCGACGTCTGCGGGGGAAACGAGCTCCTTCACAACCAAGCAGCCATCACGCTTGAGGATCGCGATGATATCCTCGAGAAGAGCTTCCTTGGAGACAGCCTGGACCCCGGGTCTGCTGCTTGGAATGTCTGTCATGCTGGATGTGGTGAGTGAGGTTGGGTTGATAGTCACGGACAGAAACCGCTGCTCACGTCTGGAGACCTCAGGGAAAATATTTGGGGCTCAGGCTGTACAATATTTCACTTTCCACCCAGGAGCTGAGCATCACATGCTGCGCCTGCCTTGGTTCTAACAGACAATTGGACCAGCCGGCGGATCGGAGTGAATTGAAGATGTTTGATCCGCACAAACATTTGGGTCGCCACGCTGATTTCGGGGCTGGGGAGGAGGGATGACAAGGTTTCAATGCAGGTCGGTGGCACATGGAGACACCTTTACAGAGTGATTAGTCTATGAGATGACGTCGTCATAGCTTGACATCAGTTGAACTCATGATCATGGCCGATGCTGTGTTCGACGACCTAGATAAAGAAGCAATGGCATACACCCAGCCCATCCAGCACTTCTCCTCGACACAAACCCAGCGTTCGCTACTATACAACAAAGAAGAAACATGCTGCACTCAACAGAATACGTCATCCCCCCAGGCTCCCTGATCCTGGTCACCGGAGCAAATGGCTACATCGCGTCGCATACCATCGACATCCTGCTCCACCGAGGCTACAAGGTCCGCGGGACGGTCCGCACGGCGAAACCCTGGCTGGACAGCTACTTTGCAGAACGTTACGGGGAAGGTCGCTATGAGAGCATCATCATCCCGTTGCTCGATGACCCGGAAATGTGCCGTCGGGCAATGCAAGATGTTTCTGGAGTTCTGCATATCGTATGTAAAATTGGTGTTCATGTCTCGGAACCGTGCTAAGAAACAACATCTGATGCAGGCATCGGACATGTCGTTCAATTCTGACCCCGATGCGGTGATCCCATGGGTCAAGCGAGCGGCAATCCACCTTTTGGAAGCTGCCGCCAGTCAATCATCTGTGACGCGGTTCGTGCTAACATCGTCCTCTACGGCGGCGCTGCTCCCAACCCCAGGTCTGAAGACCGTAGTCGATGAGAGTAGGTTCACTGCCTTCATGGTGAAGGTGTCTAGCATCTAAATACGAGTGTGAAACAGCTACATGGAACCAAGTCTCTGTCCACGCCGCCTGGGATGAATCCACTCCTCCAGAGAAGAGAGCATATCATATCTACTCCGCCGCCAAAACCGAACAAGAGCGTGAGAGTTGGAGGTGGGTGAGGGAGCGCAAGCCCCGGTTCGAATTTAACACCGTCGTCCCGAACTCCAACGTGAGCATGGCAAAACCACCAGGTCTCGCAGAGTCTAACCACACCTAGTTCGGACGGGTCCTGCATCCTCAAGTTGCAGGATTGAGTATGATTCGAATGAGAAACCTCCTCCGTGGGGACGGTTCGGTCATGGACGAGTTCCCTCCACGTAGGTCATTCTGCCCAGTTGTCCAGGCATTAGCCCCAGTACTGTCTCATCCTCACCGTCCGTACGAGCAGAATGGTACGTCAACGTCGAAGACACGGCACGACTGCATGTCGTCGCGCTGCTCAGCCCCGCCGTGAGGGGGGAACGCATCTTCGCCTTTGCCTCCGAGTTCAACTGGACGGACGTGGTCAGCATCCTGCGCCGGCTGCGACCAGACAATGCCCTAATCCCCGACCCGCCGGCCAACGAGGGCCGCGATGCGAGCGAGATCCTCCCCACGCGCCGCGCGGAGGACCTACTGCGCGAGTTCTACGGCCAGCCGGGCTGGATGAGTCTGGAGGAGACCATTGCCGCGGGAATTGAAGACGTGCCGTAGCAGCATCCATTGATAGCTAGATAGCATACTTCGCTCGGCCTAGCATGGCCCTCTACGTACCAATGCGATAATTCTAAGCCCAGAGATCAAGGTTCATCCGCCACTCCCTCCACAACCAGTCCTTCAAAGCGCACATCAAACGCCTCCGCCTCACCAGACGGATTCGCAACAAAGACCCCAACCCAGCACTGCTCCTGAATCGTATTCCCAACCGACGAAGCAAACACCCACCCCAACTCACGGAGAATTTTCCTCTCCGCCTTCCCACTCTCCGTCCGCTTCAGGCGGCTAACCACCAAATTATCCCCCTGCCGCATCAATTCCACCGTCACCCTGCCCAGGGCAGGATCCGCAGCCACGAGACTACAATCCGGCCACCGATCCCGCCCCACCGTCGCCAGGACCCGCCTACCCCCCAGAACCTCGACACCGGTCTTCACCCATCTGCGTTGGCCGTCGAACTGCGGGAGCAGCAGAGCCAGGCCGGCCTGGGCGTAGGGCTGGTCGGCTAGCTCCGCGGAGATGTTGACGCGGGCCCGTCGGAAGGAGGCCAGGGGCATTGCCTGGTAGATAAACGGGGCGGTGAAGATGCAGGTGTCCGGGGGCGAGGCCCACAGGTCAGTGGCGGGAGGGGCGCGTAGCGAGAAAGAGGAGGAAAGCTCGGAGGGGGTGGGGAGGGGGGTGGAGGTGTGCTGTGTTTGCCACTGTGGCATCTTTGCTTGTCGATGGGCTGCGTCGTTTGTTAGATAAGATATCTGGTTGGTTGGATGTTGATTGATAGGGTGTTTGCTGTGGAGGTGCAGGTTGTTGATATCGATTAGGGGTAGGCTGGAGTTGTCGTGGATGCAACTGGCTTTTAAACCTGTCCGTCACGGTGGTGGAGATGTTTGCTTACCCGTTGATCTGTGGGATTGACGTGGCCAGGCGGATTGACAAGCGCAATTGACCAGGGGTCAGGAGTTATAAGTTTACGCGCCGGCTCGGACATGCAAGGTGATAGATTGCAGCAGCCCAATTTAACGCGAGAGTCGGTCTGCCCAAGCCAGCAATCATGGTCGTCACCCACATCGTTCTCTTTCAATTCAAGTCCGGCCTGACTCCAGAGGTGGTCAATCAGGTGAGCTTCCACCTGCCTCGGAAGGATAACTACCTGTAGGGTTCAAACATTCCCTAATTTTGCTGCTGGTCTAGGCCTGCAAGGACGTTCTCGCCCTGAAGCATCGATGTATTCGCCCGGCGACCGGGCAGCCCTACATCGTCTCCTTCAGGGGTGGCAAGGATCATTCACCAGAGGGGATGCAAGTGAGTGCTCTAGGTCCGAGGCTGTCAGGTGCTCAGATGATAACACTGGCCCAGCATGGGATTACCCACGGGTTCGTAGCCGAGTTTGAGTCGCCAGAGGATCGGGACTACTACGTCTCGAGCGATCCGGTGCACTTGGGACTGGGAAGCGACCTACATCCTCTGGTTGATCAGGTTATCGTGGTTGACTTTACGGATCATGTGTTGTAGAGTCGGAGGATATGTTGTAGAGGCACAGTTCTATCTAATAATGTTATTCACTATATGTTGGGTTGTGCTAGAGATAGCCCTAACTCAAGAAGTTCCAATAACGTTTCAGTCCCGCGAGAGTGCCCCATTGACTCTAGCCCAATCACCATCACCACCACCACTAACCAACCCTCTACTGCCCTCTTATCACCATCTCCACCTTATGCTGAAAGTCCGCGAAGATCGCGATAGCCTGGAGAGTACCATTAGCCAACCACCAAGCTCATCCACCAACACACAGCAAACGAACCTGGAACAACCGACTCTGGCCTCGTCCCCCGTCACTCGCCGCAAAATGCACGTGATACCCCGCCTCGTCATCGACATAGCTGCGAGCCTGCTGCTGCTGCTCTGCCACAGAGGCATCCGACCGAAAAAAGGACTTCTTCTCCAGCGAGTCAACCGCCTCGTTCATGCCGGCCAACCTCTCCAGATCTTCTGGCGGAATCGTATGGGCCGCCACCCCAGCCAACTGCAGGATCTCGTCAACGGACATGCAGCTGCAAGCCTTGACACGAGTGGAGATCCCGTGCTGGACGTAGTACTCCTGGGCCTGAACGCAGAGATCGAGGAGAGGGTCTTGATCTTTGTATCTGCTCTTGCGTGGTTAGCTCATCCCCCAAGGTCACTCATACGTGATGAACCATCGACAAAGAACGCAACAAGTGTAACATAAAGGGATTAGAGAGAACGAACGTATCATCAAACGCAGCCTTCAGCTCATGCACAAACGGCGAGATCGACACACACCCCGCCTCGCCGGCGAGGATTGCCTGCTCCATCGTGAAGACGGTAGTGGCGAGGGTTTGGATGCCCTTGGCCCGCAGCGCATGGCAGGCCTTCAGCCCCTCAAAGGTCGCGGAGACTTTGATGACGAGGCGCGAGGGGTTGAAGTGCGCGTCGATGTGGTGGAAGATCTCATGGTATCCTTTCAAGCGCTGTCAATGTAGATTCGCAGAGCGTGTGAAAGGCGGCAGTACTTACGCAGACAAGTCTGGATCACTTCCGTGGTGGAGAAGGCATGGCATGGGTTAACCATGACATGGACGGAGCCGGTGATGTAGGGCAGGACTCGGTTGGCTAGCAAAACGGTCTGTATCATGATCTGGTAAGTCATCTGATTGGAAGCACCGCAGAGAAATGGAACCGTACAGCGATCTCAACCCGAAGCTCAGCGAGCGTCACGCCTGGGTACCTCTCATGGAGATCTTGGGCGATGTGAATCGCCTGCACGACGATTTCCTTGTTCTCCTCCTTCTGGAGCTGGAAGTATGATTCTGCCTACACGCCCACTGTTTAGCTTGCTATTCACTGGTGTCAGAGGAGGTACACACTGGGTTGGAGGTGGCATCAGTCCACGGCCCATCGGGACCTCCGCTACGGGCAGCTGGGGTGCGTTAGCACCAGTCGCTCAGAATTAGAGAGTAAGCATACCTTCAAGATCCAGACTATCCAGGTCAAGCTGGGTCTTTGAACGGAGGTACTTCAGAACATTGACAGTGTCAGCCATGTTGAATGTATTACGTTTAGCTGGATGGGTTGTGTTGAGGATGGTTGACTCGAGGTACCGTACAGGTAGTACTCATAGATATCACCTCCTTCACTACAGCAGCAATCCGCACACGATTCTTGACTTTACACTTGCACTTGGGCAATCCAACACCAGTGCTGTGAGTCTCATAGTATGACAGTGCAGACATGTTGCATGACCCAGTCCCAATCGCTACTCTCCTCTCCTACCACCTACACACTCAACGGCCTCAATCCAAACCACCTCCAAGCAACCCCTCCAGCTGCCTCGCCAAAACAAAATGAAACTCCGACCTCGGATGAAAGTCATCCCACCACACACACCCCTCCTCACCCACACACGTTCCATCCCGGAACCCATACCGCTGAGGGTCATCCAGGACTGCACCCATAAAAGCAAACACGTCGAAGAGCATCAGCGTCGCCTGCCGTCACCGTAGCACAACAAGCATAACCGATTAGCAATGCGTGCGTCAACAACCCCCTGTCTTATCCCTCTCCTCCCAAACAACAACTTCCCAATCCAACAGGAATACGAAGAGGTAACTTACATCCGGAAATCCCCCGGCCCACCGCTTCACCATCCGCTTCAATAACAGGTTGAAGATGTGGACCGTAGTCAGATGGCGAGCGCGTCGTATCGGACTGTGAGTCAGCATGTTTGGCGTGCGGGTGGTGGGGGGCACATTCAAGACCAGAAACCGGCGGGCGCCGCAGTCGTAAAGGTCGGTCAACAGCTGAAAGTACGTGTCCAGTGCGGCGGTGAGTTGCAGGAGGGGGTGGGGAGCGAGGTAGCTGAATTGTACGCTGCCATCCACCGAGTTAGATTCATAGTTGCGTAAGTTTCTGCATTGACGGGCTTGCTCGAGTAAAGTCTGCAAGGGAAGGGGGGGGTGTAAGGTAGGGCAGGGCAGGCGGATTGGAAATCGAACCGGGAAACATCCCCAACCAAACATATATCTTGTACTAAATATCAAACAAGCTGGGCGCACAACCAAGAAAACAAAAAAGAAAGAGGTAGTAAGGGAACGAACTCATTGATCCCCACCCAAATCACAAACAGCGCTGCATCTGCAACCTCTGTCCAAGCATCCGCTATGGCCGACCGTGAACTGATCTCGGGTGTCGTGTCTGCCGTCCCTCGACAATAATGCTTCCCAAACATCCCCCGAATCTGACTCACCACGTCCCCCGGCACATTCGGAACTACCTCGTTATCGATTGTAGCCCCATACACTGCGAGGTTATAGCTGAAGGTCAATGTATGGTTGAAGTGGGTGGTCAGATACCCGACCCAGTTGATTCCGTCAGAGGCGGTGCCTTGGCCTTCTCCCGTGTCAGATCAGTGGACTGGACCAAGGGGGATTATTCATCGCATAGAGAACGTAGCCCTAAAAAAAAACAAGGAAACACACCTAACTCAGGATTTCCCATTGGATTTCCCACGGCTGGCTGCTCAGCCGACACATTGAAACCGGTGGTGGTGTACGAATCGCCACTGTTCTCGTCGCTCAAGTCAGTCCCAGCCCGCTTAGGGCTACGGCTACGATCCTGTACAAGGGGGGGACGACATACAAAGTGAATAGATAGTTCACATTCCCACCCAGTAATTCGGGTACTGGCAGCGCTGCCAGTCCAGGGGCTAAGAGTTGCTGGAGTTCCATCACGACACCAAACCTGGGTTGTTTACTCTGGCGTAAGACAGCGTCTCGCCGCTGGGAACTGGTTCATCTGTATAACGTGGTATTAGATGCATCTATTTATCGGACACTGCGCCGATCCGTTTAGTACGACTCCCAGAGTGAGACTTCAGCTGCTGTGCTGGATCAGGGTAGAATTCAGCCCGGGTTATGTTCTTTGGAGAAGTGAGACCTTGTCTCACGTCACACAATCTTCGTGATGTGCCCACACTCGAATAGTGGCCATACTCAGACTTGACTTTGTGCAACCTCACACAGCCCCACATGGTGACTGATGTAATCGCATCACATTCACAGTCACGGCTCAGTCACATAATGACATCTACGATGATTTGATCAAAAGCATTACCGATGGGTATATGGCAAACGCGAGACTAGGAGACTACTGATAATCATGTAATGTGAAGAAAAGTAGCATACTCATTACATTCCGCGAATAGCTCGACTCGAAACCCTTCAACAACACTAACAAATTCCAAGTGCCGTCCTAAGAATACCCCCATGCAATGCTCATGCACGCATCGCATCCCGAACCAGCTGCTCGGCCTTAGTTTGAAAATCGCAGAAGATATTTATCGCCTGGAAGGAAAATCAGTAAGCAATCTCATGAGTTTCATACATGTTCCAGAGAAACCTACCTGCCCAAGTTTGAGCTGAGCACGGCCTTCTTGGACTCTCGCAAAAGCCAAGCGATACCCGGCTTCATCATTAATGTAAGACGGGTAGGCAAGCTTATCTTGCATGACACCCCTATCCTGGAACAATGACAAGCTTTGCACCTCGTCCACGCCCTTGTGGCTAGACTGCAGCAATTTCAGGTCATCTGGAACCAGGGTGAACGCTGCCACACCGGCCAGCTGCACGATCTCGTCCAACCCGATTGTCGCACATGCCTTGACCTTGGTCGGCAACGACTCTTGCCGATACCACTGCTGGGCCTGAACGCACAATGGTAACAGCGGGTCTGAGCCCTTATAGCTGGGCTCGAAGATAGCTTTGAGCTCATGCACAAAGGGCGAGATGGAGACGCATCCGGCTTCCCCGGCCAGAACAGCCTGCTCCATTGTGAAAACAGTAGTTGCCAAGGTCTGGATGCGTGAGTACCGCAGCTCTCGGCACGCCTGGAGTCCCTCCCAGGTGGCCGCAACCTTCAGCACAAGACGGGAGGGATCGAAGTCAGGATCAATCTCACGGAACAGACAATGCAGTCCTGTCCGTCAAACATAGTCAGCGGCGGCCTAGGTAGTCGATACAAAACTCACTTTTTGCGGCTTCCACGGTCTTGCGCTGGTAGTAGGCGTAGTTAGGGTTGACCATGATGTGGAGGTTTCCCGTCACAAATGGTCGAACATCGATCGCCAGAAGGATAGCCTGGATCTTGCATCAGCGTGTAGCATCAATGACCATTGTTAGATTTACCCCAATCTCGATTGTCAATTCTTCCCGCGTTACATTGGGATATTGTTGATGGAGACTAGCAGCGAGCTCGATCGCTTTGTCGAGAACGACCCGTCTACCTTCCTTGGCGAGCTCCGTATAGTATTCATACTATGTTTCGATCTTCAGTATGTTAGGAACATATGGTTATGGCGCCAGGCATTACCTGATTTGACGTGCAATCAATGCATCGCTCAACCTCTTTTGCTACTACATAAAGTTCAACCACCGTTCTCTATCACAGCATCATCGGGAGACCCATACCAGTCACATCGAACGTATCCAGATCTACCTGTGTTCTCGCACGCAGGTAGTCAAGTAAATTAATCTGAGAGTTCTGCATCTTGGCCTTGAGAGAGGGCGAACAGCGCAGTTCAGACAAGTACGTGAATTATTGCTGTTTGTTGGTGCTTTGAACCCTCAATTCGACGGGAACGACAGTCGATCCCTAAATATAGAATCTTCACGACTGAAACAGCCTGGTAGATCAATGTGAGATTCCTAGCTATCAGCCAATTAGTGCACTGTAGTCGAATGCAGCTTCACCCAAGGTAACACCGCTTCGAACTTCGTCACCGATCAATCTCATCGTCTGCACGCCCAGTCAGCGCCGCAATTGTGGACCCGGAATGGAACTGTACCGAGTATAGCTAGGCCTCGGAAGGCTATGGCAGGTTCACGGCGTCCAGAGTAAGCTGCATTGTGAGATGAAAGAGTTGTAGATCGGTTATCAGTGAAATTGAGCTCGCTCCTGGCGCTTAGCGGACTCTGTCCTCCGCAAGCATCATCGTGAACGCTCAAGCATGTTGAAGTGACAGAGAAGACTCATCTCTGTCCTCGTCGTGGCCTCTCTTGTCCTTGTCTGATTGATCCCTCTGAGCTCTTTTCATTGCTTATTGTATGGTGCAGCAATTCCCAAACATGTTGAACGAAAGCAGGCCTGACCTGAGTCTGGCCCAGCTGCTGGTGCAAAAGGTGCAGCTATATGCAGATGATATTGCTCTCGAGCATGGTGAACATCGCATGACCTTTCAACAACTGCACCAAAAGGCGCTGAGTATTGTGCTTGAGCTCGAGAGGCTCGGGGTCACAAAAGAGCAACCGATTGGAATTCTAATATCGAGAGGGATAAACCATATCTTGGCCCAAGTGGCGGTGGTGTATGCCGGTGCAACCTGTGTTCCTTTGGACATTGACCTTCCGGATGACCATCTCGAACGACTCTTGCTTCATCTGGGGGCTTCTCTAGTATTATCGGACAGCTCCAACTCACATCGACTACCGAACCTGCAACATCTGGTTGTGAATTGGGAGCCTGTTGAGCGAGAAGAGGTTGATCACCTTGTGGTGTCGGACAATTCTCCCTCCTGTTGCTCACATATTCTCCACACCTCCGGGTCTACCGGCCAGCCCAAGGCCGTGCGAGTGCTCGCAGCCGGACTAATCAACCTCGTCTTCAACGAATTCGCCCCAATTCATCGTGGTCACCGCGTGGCTCACGTCTGCAATGTGGGATTCGATGTATCGCTGTGGGAGATATGGTCTGCGCTTTTGCACGGAGGGACAGTGATTGTCTTCCAACGAGAGGAGTTCCTGGATCCCATCATCTTTGAACGCCGACTCCAAGTCGACCACATCGATGTGATGTGGCAGACCACTTCCCTGCTCGCCACTATTGCCCATACCTGTCCTCATGCCTACTCCCATGTAGATAGCCTGTTGACAGGTGGAGAGGCTATCCATGTCCCCACCATCCGAACCATCTTCGCCAACGGTCCGCCCCGCAAGCTATTCAACGTCTACGGGCCGACGGAGCTGTCAGTCTTCACGACCTACCACCTGGTAACTTCCCAAGACATCGAGCGTGGGGAGATTCCGATTGGGAGATCCCTCAGCGGATACGACGCCTTTGTAGTCGACGAGAATCTCCACCCTGTGACTCAAGGCAGCGTGGGAGAGTTGCTAGTGGGTGGCACTGGTGTCGCAGGGGGGTATTTCGAACAGCCCGAGAAGACAGCAAAGGTGTTTGTGGCTGCTCCTCACCTCCAGGACAACTGCCAAATAGCCCCGGGATTGTTCTACCGAACAGGCGACCTTGTGCGACGGACTGAATCCGGGGATATCGTCTATCTTGGCCGTCGCGACAACGAAGTGAAGATTCGCGGGCAACGAGTCGATCTTGGTGCCATCGAAAAGGCTCTGTTGTCGACCCAGCTCGTGGTCCGCGCCGTGGCGCTGAGGATAACACTAGATGAGCTGGATGGAGGATCCGCCTTGCTCGTCTGCGTGATCCCCTTTTCTCCGAAGATTACTGCCCACGCCATTCGTCAGCTATACATCAAACAGGCGCCGCATCTGATGGTGCCTCGGATCCAGGTGGTCGAGGAGATCGCTCTCACTGGGAGTGGGAAGGTCGATCGCAAAGCCTTGGCCAGCCACTACCTGCAGAGTCTGGCACAGACATCATCGAGGGAGAGTGAAGTCAATGGCACCGAAAATGTGGAGGCTAAACTACGAGCCCTATGGCAGGAGCTACTGGGCCTTCCCAACGCCACTTTCCACGACGAGGATGATTTCTTCATTCTCGGCGGGACTTCGCTTCACGCGGCACTTTTTGTTTCTCGTCTTCGACATATCTTTCGTCGCGAGATCCGCGTCTCAGAGTTGTTTGAGAATTCTTCTTTCCGGGCGATGTGTTCATTGCTTCGAGCCAGCGACACGCCAGCCCTAACGGAGCGCAAAACCTCCGCGCAGGAAGAATGGCAACGCGACTGTCGCCTGGGACTTGACCTTCATCCCCTATCACGCTCAATCCCCGACTGGCGCAATTCTTCCGAGGGCGTCGTCTTCCTGACCGGCGCCACAGGGTTTGTAGGAGCCTTCGTTCTCGCCGGACTTCTCGCACTCCCCGAGGTGGAAACGGTGGTGTGTCTGGTGCGCTCCACCGACGCCCAGCACGCCCACCGCCGCATCCGCAAATCCTTGTTGAAATATAGCCTCATGCTAACACCTGCTCAAGAAGCACGGATTATCGCGATGGCCGGGGATATCTCCCAGGAGGATCTGGGATTGACCCCGCAGCAATATTCGTGGCTCTCGCACTGGGCGAGCGTGGTGTTTCATCTCGGGGCGCACGTCAACTTCGTGCAACCGTACTCAAGCCACCGTGCGGCAAACGTGCTGGGTACGCTGCACATGATCCGATTTGCGAACAGCGGCCGCACCAAGGCGCTGCACTACACGTCGAGTATCAGCGCGTACGGACCCACGGGCGTAGTGAACGGCCACACGCATCTGGCGGAAAAGGAGCAGCCCGCCGCACACCTGTCAGCGCTTCCTTTTGCTATGGGCTATGCGCAAAGTCAGATGGTCGCGGAGACTATCGCCTGGAATGCGATCTCCCAAGGCCTACCCATCACTATCTACCGGCTCGGGTTCGTGCTGGGGCACAGTGAGACGGGCACAATGAACCCGGACGACTTCCTGACGCGGGTGATTGCTGCCAGCCTGCAATGCGGCTGCTATCCGCTGCTTCCAGGTCATCGCGAGGATATTGTCCCGGTCGACTGGGTGGCGTCAACGCTGTTGCACATCGCCTCTAGCTCGGAGCATGCCTGCCAGGCGTATAATGTTGTCCATCCGACGACCGGTTCGAGTGTAGAGCTCTCGACGATCTTCACTCTGCTAAACCAGGTACGCGGGAAGACGCCCCTGCGTGCTGTGCCTTATTCCGAATGGGTCGGGATCCTGTCGCAGACCCACGAAAGTCCGCTTCAATCCCTACTGCCGTTGTTGGAGGAGAAGGTCTGGGAAGGACGCAGTATTTGGGAGATGCAGCAGGGGATGCCCGAATTCGGGACGGACAATCTGTGTAGAGCCCTAGCTGATGCTCCGCAGCTGCTGGAATGTCCCTCGCCTACGTCTCTGGTGGTGCGATACAGTCCCCACTGGCTGAGGGGTGATGTTTCGAACGTGTCCTCTATTTAGTTATCATTGCCTGTGTAGTAGATTGTCAAATAATTCTCGAGTTCATTCACTGTCTACATTCCACCTCAGCATGTCCCTCTTTCTATACAAGCACCCCTTATAGGGATTCTCCTCATCCATCTCCTCCTCTTCGGCCGTGACCAACACCCTCCGCACCCGACAAAGACTTCCAAACGCGATTGAATAAGGAGGGACGTCCCTCGTCACTACAGACCCGGCTCCGATCGTGGAGCCCTGCCCGATCGTGACACCCGGAAGAATGACCGTATTCGCGCCGATCCAGCAATCATCCCCAATGAAAACCGGATGACCGAACTCGACCCCTCTCCGTCGGGAGAGGACACTGGGGTCGTGACTGGCGGCGATGATGCTGACGTTCGAGGCGATCTGGACGCGATCCCCGATGACGACCAGGCTGGTGTCGAGGACGGTGAGTCTGGAGGTATCAGCCTTTGAAGCCGTCTTCATTCCGGGGATATCCACCCTCCATTTCAATACAGCACAACTTTACCCACGGGGTAGAAGAGAGTAAAGAGCATCAACTTACCCAAAATTCACAAACACCTCCCTCCCGAAGGAGATATTGCACCCGTAATCCGGGCGGAAGGGCGGCTCGACGAAGGTCTTGTCCCCTGCTTTGCCGACCAACTTGCGTAGCAGGTCTAGCCTCACTTCTCCGACTTTGTCAAAGGGCACGGTCGTGGTGTCAAGGCTGTTGTAAACGGCGGTCAGGCCGCGGGCGAGATGGCGGGCTTCCAGGAGGGCGGGGACGGTGGGGTCGTACCTTTTTCACTGCTGTTAGCTTTTATTTTACTGGATAGAGGATAGGCAAGGAGGAGGGCATACATCATTCCCGAGATCATCTTCTCATACTCTTCCCCCGACGGAGTGCCGTTGAGGTCCTGCGCCAGGGCGAGAATCTCCGGGCGCCTGGCGGGGGCGGCGAGGCTGTAGTTTGGTGGGGTTGGCATTTTGGATATTCGATCTTTGAAGTCAATATGATTACCTTGGTCTGACTCGTTTCTTGACGGAATTATATCGGAGTGGGTGGTAAAGATATGACGGATCGAGGGGTGTCCACAACGCGTTTAGTAAAGGGGTGAATACAGCAGTGGGACAAGTGCAGCACGCCATCAACTCCACGAGTACCTATTAAACTTCAGTTATCAGACACTTTTCAAAGGCTATTGTATTGACGTGTTCGGGACCAGGATCCCCTGGATCCTGCCTGCAGCATAAGATGATGCTGGATGCATGGCGCCTTATCGATTGGCTCTGGCGCGCCAATTCGAAACCCTATGCAGGGATGGCTCATTGTGGATGCCTGCCGCCGGCAAACATTTCCCCAGAATGCAATTCTTCAGCATCGTGGTGCAGCAGATAGACAAGGCAATTGACATTTGCACGGCAGACTGCAGGACTGACCCACTGTAGCAACACATACGATGTGAAGCTCAAACAAGGTTGGACTCATGTAAGGGTTCAGGGGCAGATGTAGCGGGTAGGAACAAGTCTTGACATCGGGAGGATATTTGATGGAATGCACCTGTACCGACTGTCGATTGTACCTCTATGTAAACAACTCAAGGTATCAACCCCCAGAATTCACTTCACGCGACCAAGTCAACATGACACACCCCCACCACCACATCATCCAACTCCCTACCACCCCCAAAGTAAATCCATCCAGCATCGACCCCACCACCATCGCCCAGGAATGGCTCGCCAAACTAAACACCCACCTGACCGGCAGCACCTCCATTCCTCTTTCCAGCCTCTTCCATGAAGACAGCTGGTGGCGCGACATGCTCGCCCTGGACTGGGATTTCCACACCATCCGAGGCTATCCCAACATCCAAAGCTACCTCGCGCAGCACCTTCCCCGTGTGCAACTGCAGAATGCGCGTCTTCACGATGAGGAAGAAATAAAACCTGCCACCGACACCCCGTCTCCCGGACTGACATGGATAACGGCGATGTTCGGCTTCGAGACTCGCTTCGGTCACGGACGCGGGGTGTTCTACCTGACTCCGACCGAGGAGGGAGGGTGGAAAGCCTACTCCGTGTATACTGCGTTGCAGGAGCTGCACGAAGCGGAAGAGAAGGTAGGGCTGCGACGGCCACACGGCACGATCGAGTCGATGCCGGGTGGAGTTGCGCAGGGGAACTGGTTGGAGAGAAGGGAGCGCGACAAGGAGTTTGTAGACACTGATCCCACGGTGTTGATCGTCGGTGCCGGTCAGAATCCTTTTAGTTCTTGATGTGAATCGCATGCTGAACCCTTCCTTTCAGGCCAGGCAGGACTCAATCTAGCGGTTCGTCTGCAGACCCTCGGTCAATCGTGTCTCGTCGTGGAGAAGAACGAGCGCGTGGGAGATAACTGGAGAAAGCGATATCGGGTTTGGACATCCTCTCTTCTCCAGAGGCAATGAACTGGGACGGGCTAATATGACTGCAGACCCTCATCACCCACGACCACATCGAAACATGCCATCTCGCCCACTTGCCCTTCCCCAAGACCTGGCCCAAGTATCTTCCCAAAGATAAGCTGGCCGACTGGCTGGAATCCTACTCCACGATCATGGAGCTGAACGTGTGGACACAGACTGCAGTCAAGTCGGCTGAGTATGATGAGGCTGCGGGGAACTGGACCGTCTGCCTCGTGCGGGATGGAGTCGAGCGTATTCTACGGCCACGACACATCGCATGGTGCGCAGGACATCTGGGCTTACCCAAGATTCCCAGCTTCCCAGGGCAGGGGGACTTCAAAGGGACGATCTACCATGCGAGGCAGCACGTCGACGCCAGAGAATTGGCCCCGCAAGGCAAGAAGGTGGTGGTAGTCGGGACCGGGAATAGTGGCCACGACATTGCGCAGGACTTCTACCAACAGGGAGCAGTCGTGACGATGCTCCAGCGGGGTCCGACGTATGTCCTCACCGAGGAACATGGATTGCCTTTAATCCCAGAGAATCATGGCATCGACAATGACAATCGGTAAGATTGCCCTCTCACGCCCCCTTTCATTCTTCTACCCGCAGCCCTAACAGCCACGCAGCCCTCCCCTCGACACGCAAGATATCCTCTCAGAAAGCCTGCCCTGGCCCGTCACCCTCGCCCTCTGCGTCGACCTCACCAAGCGCATCTCCGCCACTGATTCTGCCGTTCTCGAGGGCCTCCGGTCCATTGGTTTCCAACTAGATTTCGGCCTCGACGGCGCCGGACTGTTACGCTCGCTGGTCTCCCGCGGCGGAGGATACTACATCGACTTCGGCTGCAGCCAGCTGCTGATCGACCGCAAAATACAGCTGCATTCGTGTGCGGGCGGTATTGCCTCTTTCGACCAAGGGGGTCTTCACCTCGCCGACGGCACTTATCTGGCTGCAGGCATCGTGGTGCTGGCGACGGGGTACGCCAACATGCGCGACTCGGTACGCCACACGCTAGGGCCGGAGGTGGCCGACCAATGCAAGGACGTATGGGATCTGGACGAGGAGGGGGAGATACAGACGGTGCGTACAGCAGCAGCGGCAGCAGCATCACCCACATCCCTCCTTACATCACCTCGCAGACCAGAAATTCCCGGACTGACCGAATCCCCGAATAGATCTGGAGACCGAGCGGACATCCCCATCTGTGGCTCATGGGCGGAAGCCTATCGCTGTGTCGCATTTATTCCCGCTTCGTTGCACTGCAGATTGCCGCCGCGGAGCTGGGGCTGATGGCGCAGTGAGGGTGCATCCTTGGACCTTGCTTTGGCGTGACACGAGGGCCGTCTGTGCTTTTTCTTTGTCTGGCGGAGGCCAATCAATCGCCTTTCGCAATAAGAGCCATCGATTCTGCATCGCCATAGGCCGGTCGATTAGAGGATTGAGTGATTTGGGCGTACGGATTCGTATACTAGTGGGGGAATGAGGGTTCTTGCTGGTGTCGTAGCTGAGCTGACTGTCGGAAGGTACTAGAATGATATTCGAGAGTGTCGTGACTGGAATTTAACTACTCGTAGTCGCTCGAATCTTTCCTCACACGATTAGACTAGAGAATCAATGCCCCTCGATCATAGACCTGATTGACTGTCGGCATGACCTCGAAGATCATCCCGGCGAAGCCCATCGGCTACGGGTGGCGATCCTCGCGCCTGTTCATCGTGGCAGTCATCTCTCTCGCCATGTTCACTGGTAAGCAGCCCTTCATCTCTCCTCGCGCCCTCTAATCGAATCAACAGACACCTTCCTTTTCAGCTTCATCATCCCCATCCTACCCGACATCCTGCAAGACAGACTTCAAAAACCTCCCTCGCACACGCAGCTTCTTACTTCTATCCTTCTGTCCTTAAACGCACTGGTCTCGATTCTCATCGCCCCGTTCACCGGCCATTTAGCGGATGGCTCCAAGTCGAAGAACCAATGGATGGTGATCTCATGGGTGACCAACGCAGTCGGTACAGCCATCACAGCATGGAGCACGACAGTAGCCGTCCTCTTCATCGGCCGACTCATCCAAACCCTGGCCGGGTCAGTGATCTGGATCGTCGGCATGGCCATTCTGGGGGATACAGTGGGCGCCAAACACCTGGCCAAAGCCCTGGGCTTGGCCATGCTGTTCGTGTCCGCGGGGTTACTCAGTGGCCCGGCTGTGTCGGGGTCTCTCTACCAGTCCGTGTCCTACTCGATGACCTGGGCGAGTGCATTCACCGTGATACTCGTGGGGACTGTCCTACAGCTTCTGATTGTTGGGACTTTTAACTACGACATGCACATTGAGGACTCCTCCCCGGAAGAATCGCAGATCCGAAACCCGTTACTCTCCTCTGCATCTCACTCCGAGAGCACACAGTACCATACAATCGAAGAACCCACCTCCCTCCCCACCCAGAACGTCTACACCCTCATGCTCCGCAAGAAAAGGGTAGCCACAGCACTAATAGCAGACATCCTCTTCGCGATCATCATCGCCAGCTTCGAGACCACGATCCCGATCCACATCAAGGCCGTCTTCCACTGGGAGTCTCTCCAAGCGGGGCTACTATTCCTGCTTCTGCAGGCCCCATCGATGATCCTCGTCATCCCGGCGGCATGGCTGAAAGACCGGATTGGGATGCGGTACCCCGTGACGATCGGGTTCCTGTGTCTTGCGCCGTCGCTGTGGTTGCTCGGGGTTCCCGGACATGCACGGGACGCTTGGTGGACGGACGACGAGGACACTAACCGGGTGATCTACATCGCCACGCTACTGGCGATCGGAGTCTGGCGGACTCTGCTGTTGGGGTTCGGGGCTGTCGAGGTGTTGCGTAAGTTTCCGGGGGTCGTTTGTCCCACTAAACTGAACCTCGGGCTAATCCTGGACATGTGTAGACGGCGCCAACGAGCTTTCGCATGAGTACCCGGGCATCTTCGGGCCGCACGGCGGGTACTCGCGGTCGTTCTCCATGTCCAATATCAGCTGGAAGCTGGGGATGTTTGTAGGGCCGCTGGTCTCGGGGACCTTGACGGAGAAGATGGGATATTACCAGATGAACTTGGTTCTAGGTATGTTTTCGGGTCTCTGGACGGGCTGGGCTGGTTTGAGTACGGGCTGACACTGGTTCAATTGTGCCAGCTGTGTTGTGTTTGGTGATGGGCGGGGCCACCTTTCTCGCCATAGATTGAAGTAACGATGCTTGAAATGGATACCGAGTGGGTGATAAAAGTAATGTGAGATGATTGTCAGAGATGGTTGGCCGAGAGGAATGGACTGCAGCATGCAGTCGCCGAGGGCTCGGCATTGGGAAGGTGGCTGCATACCTATGCTACTGTAGGGTTAGCATACATGCACGACCTGTAGATGTTGACGTGTTCGCAGGTGTTCATACGTTCTAGATCGATTCTCAATCTGCCTGGGCACATGTCAGCCGGCAGCTCGAGTTTAAATATGTTCAGCTGGCCTGTTTCCATTTCCATCCTAAATCTCACCAGATCTACCATCCATCATCCCAGCCCAACATATCCCTTCTCAGCTAGTCTACGTCCTGAGTATGTCTACGGCAATGAACAATCCCCAGGTGATAGCCTTAGCCGGCGGCAGCGGCGACCTGGGCCACTACCTCCAGGAAGAGCTCATCAAGGATCCGCGCTACAGCGTCGTGATCCTCACGCGGCAGGTAAGTCTTCCAGCTCCCACTCCCCTCACGCCATTGCACCTTTCCACAATCTCCCCACCACGATCCACCGATCAACTCTCAGTCAATCAAGAGACTAACAACACAACAACAAAGACCCACCCTCCCAACCCCATCTCCAACAGAGTAACCACCCAAACAACAGACTACACTCTCCGCTCTCTCCTACACATCCTCCGCACCACGCACACCACAGCGCTAATCTCTCTCCTCCGCTGCCCAGACGAGGACTACCTCCCCGTCCACACCACCCTGCTCAAAGCCTGCCAGCTCACTGAAACCTGCACCCGCTTCATCCCCTCCGAATGGGCCGGGGACATCGAGTCCTTTCCCGCGCTCCCACGGGCATACGGTCGGACTCGTCTTCCGTTCCGGGCGATTCTTGCCCAGCAGGCAGACTCCCAAGCATCTGATGCCCTACCTCACCCCGTGCAGAAAGTAGAGTATACACTGTTGAATCACGGCTGGTGCATGGAATACTTCCTCCTCGCCCACCAGTCCCACCGAAGGTGCATGCCCGGGGAGTTTCCGATCGATCCCGTCGCGTGGAGGTATACCGTCCGCGGGACGGGAGAGGAGGGACAGAGCTGGACGTGTGCGCGTGATATAGCGTGCGCGGTGGGGAGGTTGCTGGCCGCTGAGAGGGGGAGTTGGGTGAGTTGTTTCTTTCTCTTTTCTTCCATCTTTGTTGGTTGTTGTGGAGGGTTATTCTAGTGTGGAGGGTGGTTGATGGAGGAGCGTGAGGGATGAGAGTTAGGGCTGACGTTGTCCTTATCTAGGATCCGGTCACGTACGTGGTCGGGGAGTGGGGGACGTTCAATCAGATGACTTCGCTGTTGGAGAGATTCTATGGTACGTTACACTCTCTCGACTTCAATCTCTGCCTAGGTATATATTCCATGGCATTTCTCTTCGCGGCAAATTAGAGGTAGGAAGAGGTGTGGTTAATAGACGACAGGTCGACCCTTCGTACGAGATTACCGATCGAAGGAGGACATCGAAACCACGATCCAGCAGTACGAGGACCAGCCGGAGAGTCTGGAGCTGGCTATTGCTGAGGCAGAGGAATGGACAATCAGCGGTGCTACTGCCTGTCCGAAGGAGAAGACCCTGCGGCAACGAGAGAGGTTCTTTGCCGGTATGCATTTCACTACTGTGGAAGAGCTGCTGAAGAAGGCAGAGGTGGAAGAGCGGGTATAATAGCATGAAAGCATCAGTGCTGCCTGAACCAAAAGATTCTATTGTACTACATAGCGCACGGAAAATTCTCTGTCAGCCTCATCCTCGTTCACCAGTAGCTGCCACGATCCACGGTCGCAAAGCTGCTCCAGGCTTTCGATGGGGCTCTCCGAATCTATCTCAGTCCCTGGGTGAGGGTCCGGCCGTTCCGGCCCCATTAGGCGCCGTGGGGACGGACTTGCATGTTGGTGAGTTGATGGAATTGGTCTTGACTCGAATCAAAGGTAGTATAAATTGTAGAAGGACTTTTCAGTAAGCTACGTGCAGGGGGAGAGTGTGCATTATTGTGGTGAATTATGTAGAAGCAGCGGCAGGGGCTGGTAGGGTAAGATCCGAGTCAACCCTTCCTTCCCCCATTGAATGAACCACGCATCGCCCCTCATCTCCTCCATCTTCACATCCCATTCTGTTGAGTAATCCACCCAGACAAATCGTCACTGCAGCTACAATGCTCTTATCTCCCTCCCACCCCAGTTTGTCAGCACGACGCAGCATGGATGACGTGATTGCGGGGGGTTTGACGCCATGCAGCCAGGAACCCACCATCGACCCTCATGATACGCTCAGGCCAGAGCTATCGGATCAACCCACGGCCAACGCCATCCAACCTGCAGTTGGTGCCATAGCAAGTGCCGGCATCCGATGTTCGGAGGGCTGCTATAAAGCCAGCCGGCGGGCGACGACAGAACACCTCCATCATCCAGCCCTAACTCCAGCCAACCCACGATCAACCGGCACCATGCCCACCGAATTCATCAGTCTCACTTTCCCCAATCCCTCTACGGAGCTGAAACCCATCCCCAATGCTTCAATTGACCCCGACTTCCTCGTGCGGTACGCCCGATCGCTGGACGACTACGGGTTCAACTACACGCTGGTCCCCTACGACTCCTCGTACTTCGACCCCTTCACGACGGGCGCAACCATCGCAGCAGTAACCAAGAACCTCAAGATCATCATTGCTCTCCGTCCCAACACCCTGTACCCCACCGTCGCTGCCAAAGCGCTGGCGACGCTGGACCAACTCAGCCGAGGCCGGGCGGTGGTGCATCTCATCGCTGGCGGCAGCGACGCCGATCAAGCGCGGGAGGGCGACTTCTTGAGCAAAGAGGAACGCTACGGCCGTCTGGAAGATTACATCCGCATCCTGCGACGGGCGTGGGAGTCGGACGAGCCCTTCGACTGGGAAAGCCCCTACTACACGTTCAAGGGGTTCAGCAACCGGGTGCGGCCCGTGAACGGCACGATTCCGGTGTCGGTGGGCGGCTCGTCCGACGAGGCCTACCGCATCGGAGGCAGCCTGGCCGATATCTTTGGATTATGGGGAGAACCGCTGAAGGAGACGAAGGAGCAGATCGATCGCATCTACGCCGAGACAGACAAGGCCGGCCGCGCGGAGACGGACCGCCCGCGGATCTGGGTGACCTTCCGGCCCATCACGGCGGAGACGGACGAGCTGGCCTGGGCCAAGGCGCACCGGACGCTGGATCTGTTGACCTCGCACCGCCAGAACGGCTTCGGCCGCGTGGCCGCCGATGCGCCGCCGCCGCAGAACGCGGGCTCGCAGCGGTTGCTGGAGATCGCCAAGCGGGGGGACGTCCAGGACCGCGCGCTGTGGTATCCCACCGTCACGGCCACGAATGCGCGCGGCGCCTCCACCGCGCTGGTGGGCTCGCACCAGACCATTGTCGACTCGCTGCTGGACTATGTCAAGTTGGGCGCGGAGCTGATCTCCATCCGCGGGTATGACAACTACAATGATGCCGTGGACTACGGCCGGTATATCCTGCCTCGCGTGCGGGAGGAGTTGGCCAAGGAGCAGGATTAGATGTATACTAGTTCCTTCCCTTATTCCCTGGGTGGCAGATACTCCATAAATAGAACATATGATGCCCACTCCACCTGCCCAAGCCTCTTGGCGCGGGGAATTGAGCGCATTTGAGCTACTTAGGCATTCAGGCATTCAGGCAGTAACACCTGTCAGGCACAATTATCAGTCACGTGACTATACTGCCCTTACAACCGGACACCATTAATCATCAGCATCATTATTGACAAATCTAATTCGAGACGAGACACAATTCTAAGCAGCAGCTACCCACAGCACCCCGTCGTCCACTCCTCCGGCTTGTCCGGCACCACCGGCGCAGCCTCCGCGGCCACCTTCCCCCTCGCCGGCAGCACCACGCGATACTCGCCGCGATCACAGAGCACCTTGCCCACGAACGCCCCCAGAAAGATGGAAATGATCATGTACCCGTTATACGACATGGCGTTCAGCATGATGAGATACGCCAGCCCGAACTGCAGCGTCTGCAGCAGCGCGCGGATGAGCTGCTGCACCGGACTAGCCCGGAAGGTGACCACCAGCGGCCCATCGGCCAGCGTATCGCCGCAGAAGAACTGCGTGCGCTCGCCGGGGGACTGCGTCGCGACGTGTCGCTGGAACTGGCGCTGGAGGTGCTCCTCGTATTGTTTGCTCAGCAGGCGCAGGACGTCGAGGACGACGACCAGGAAGGCCACGCCGATGCAGGAGACGGCGAATTGGCCGGCGGTGGTGATGTGCCAGGTTGAGGAGAGGAAGCCTATTTGAGGGGGTTAGGATTGTGGTTGTTGTGGGGGAGTCGGGGGGGTTGCGACTGAGGGGAACGTACAGGCATCGATGGTGGTCCAGTTCCAGAGCATCTTTATGCGGATTAGTCATTATGTCGATGATGCATGCATACATGCATAATTCATAACCAGGGATAGGGTGGGCATACCGTCACCGAGCAGGCGCTCGAATTGGAGGAACTTGACATGTGCATGTCCATGGTGGTATAAATTTGGGCGTACAGCACACAGTACACGGTGGTCAATGGTGGGTGGAATAACCTCACCCTGAACAGGCACCGGCCGGGCCTTATATGGAGGCGAGAAATGAGCAGATTATCACGCAGGATGCTTGGCAGTGAGCAGATTTCGGTCTTGGCAGGCTCCACCTCGACGGCGGATTGATGGGTTAAAAGACTCCAGATTTCCCTGCACATGGGTCCGCGGTTCATCCATCAGGTACTCCGTACTGCGTACCCAGTCGATCTCATGGGCCATATTCAGGATTTCTCCCAGGATTCCGCCCTCGAGGAGCATTGGGGCTATGTCGCCCGCCAGATCCCCTGCACCAAGGATGCCGGCACCTGTGCCTATCTGGACGCCGTCTACCACGGCCACGACGTCACCATGCTGTACAGCTTCATCCTGTGGGCCGTGATTGTGGGGATCTTGTTTCTGTGGGCGATGAGCGGACGGTTGATCCGCATTGAGCGAATGCCCTCATCCCCCAAGACCACCCCGGGGGCAACGCACACGCAGAGCGCACTGTACCGTCTCTCGAGGACGCTGCAAGCCCTGACTCGCCGCCATCTGCTCCCGGAAGCCCTTCCCCGGGTATTCGGCCACACCACGCGGCTGCAGGTGCTCGTCTTCCTCGTGCTCTCGGGCTACCTGCTGGTCTTCACCCTGGTGGGCATCACCTACAAGACGTGGACGACGCCCATCAGCGGCAGTACGCAGTCCAACATCCGCAGCGGGCTGGGTCCCTGGGCGGACCGCGTGGGTGTGCTGGCGTTTGCCCTCACCCCGCTCTCCATCCTGCTTTCCAGCCGGGAGTCCCTCCTCTCTCTCATCACCGGCATCCCGTACCACCACTTCAACTTCTTGCACCGCTGGCTGGGCTACGTGATCTACGCTCAGTCGGCCCTGCACACCATCGGCTGGACCGTGGTGGAGGGCCGTCTGTACCAGCCGCAGCCCAGCCAGTGGAACAGCTTCATCGCGCAGCCCTACATCATCTGGGGGATCGCGGCGATGATCCTGCTGACCTTTCTGGTGCTGCACAGCACGAAACCCGTGATTCGACTCACGGGGTACGAGTTCTTCCGCAAGGCGCACTACGTCGTGGCGATGGTGTACGTGGGGGCGTGCTGGGCGCACTGGGCGCACCTCTACTGCTGGATGCTGGCCTCGCTGGTTGTCTGGCTGCTGGACCGGGGGGCGCGGCTCATCCGAACATTTCTATTGCACCACCTGGGCGTGCCCTCAACCGCCTCCAGCTGGGGCCTGCACATCCCCCACGCGGCGATGCAGCTGCACGCCAACCCCGCCGACGGCGACATCATCCGGCTGGACTTCCACCACAACCACGACGCCTGGCACATCGGCCAGCACTTCTTCCTGTGCTTTCCGCAGCTAAGCCTCTGGCAAGCGCACCCGCTCACCCCCTGCAGCGTGCCAGACACACTACCGACCGGCCAGCAACACACCTATCTCATCCGCGCGAGGAAAGGGCTGACGCGCGTTCTCGCCGAATCCGCACGCCTACAACCCACGGCTCCAGCAGGGGAAACCAGCACGATGGCAAGTCCGGGCCCGACGACCGCGGTACTCCTCAGCGGACCGTACGGGCAGTCCATCGAGGACCCGTCTATAGGCGGCCTCCCCCGCAGCACCAGCAATCTGCTCTGCATCGCCGGCGGCACAGGCATCACCTTCGTCCTGCCGCCGATCCTGCAGCGCCTCTCGGCCCCCCTCCCCTCCGACCAACAAATCGAACTCATCTGGATCATCCGCCGCAGAGCGGACACACAATGGATTGCCCCGGAGCTGGACATCCTGCACCGCGTGGCGCAGACGTCGCCGGATTCCTTCCGCGTGCGCATCTACGTTACGCGGGATGTGTCAGAAAACGTGCGCAGCAGCGAGACAGAGACAGAAACAGACGAGAAGACACCGTGCTGCGGCTCAACCTTGCCAGCCTCAGACCCCGAACCGGAACCGGGGTTCGCGGTGCATTACACACTGCCCAGAACGTCGGATGCGCAGGCGAGCACGCATCCAGATCTCACGGCCCAGGTGACGCGGTTCCTGGATCGCGTGGTGGACGGTCCGACGAGAGTGTTGGCCAGTGGACCTGCGGGGATCATCACCACGCTGCGCGGGGCGGTGGCAGCGGTTAATCGACCGGGGAAGGTGTGGCGTGGGGAGGAGAGGTGGGATGTCGAGTTGGTGCATGATGATCGGGTGGAATGGTAGTTTTGGGATGTGTATATACTGTCGCAAGGGGGGGGAGGTCTGTAAATAGCAAGGAGCCTGAGGGATGAAGTTGGATTATGAATGTAAGAGATACCCTGTCAGTTCCGTTTCAGATAATGCGGGGGTTTTCAGCTGCAAGTGCAAGAGCTGGTTCTCTTGCGGTTTGACGCCTGCTTTCCATGATATTTGTCCCTCAATTAGGCTGGCAGCTGGCGATTGTGGTGTTGCCTTGTCTTCGCATCGTCCTCTGCATCACGCCGTTGCAGTTCTGAGCATTGTTCAGAGGACCTTCCATGTGGCTTTACCCTCCTAAGCTAGCGTTAGACTGGGGAATATGCTTCATCGAAATGGCCTGATGGTTAGCTCGCTCCTACTAAGAGAGGAATACAACTAGCAACCCATACAGTTAATGCGGAGTTTGCGAGAATCGATGGGTGAGTTGTGGCCTGAGAAAGGGGTAGTCTCACCTGGCCAATATGATCAGGTGAAAACGCTTCTGAACCAAGCCAAGGCTGAGATCGTGTGTCCACTCGCCCTCTCCGAAGAGGACAGAACTGCATGGGAAGAGTCATGGCCGTATCATGGATAATCTACCAAGGGGTATCCGCCCGAAAGGCAAAGCCCGTCGATGCTGGGACCCCGGCGTAGATGCCACCACACAGTAGCCACCGCAAACATATGAAGGATGGTCTGGTCAGGAGGGCCTACGAGATGTGGCGAGTATATAGCCGTGTGAGGACATGCCGTGCCAGAAGAGAAGGCTGACTCCATGGCATTCACTGCGCCAGCGACATCTTCCTCAATCGAACGAGCCTCGCCTGCGGTAAACTGTAACGGGAGCGGTGGGTTGCCAGCAGCCTGGACGCCCGGCAGAGTTGGCCATTACTCTTCTAACTCGAGCATCCTAGATTGGTGGAGCGCCTCTCCGTCGACAAGCATAATCTGAGCCAACATCATCTCGAAACTAGGGGTCTGGCGGAATTCCATGGCTCGGAATAGTCGTTCGTTCTTCCCACACGTGAACCGTCGATACAACGCACTGAGCGACATGTTCAAGTACAGACTCTGGCTGCCGCTTGCTTTTCTGGTTCAAGTTGATCAAAATTTTCCGGGAATGTGGGCGGATCCAAGCCGGTCACAGACAGACCATCATAATCAAGAAAGTACGGCTGACGGGCATGATCGAACAGTGGCAGGATCTCACTTGACTGCCAATCGATAATCGCCGTTACCTCTGATGGCCGTTCAGGGCGTACAAAGATATTCTCATTGTGGAGGTCGGGATGCCACAAGAAAGCAGACGATATCTAGCTGTCCAAAGATAAGAGATACTTGACTACACGCAGGTAGTTACGGAGAGCGGCAATCTTTTTCGTACGAGAAGGGCGATATGTGCCGGGACCATCGAGGGCCAGAGGCGAATGGGGTAGCTGAGTCATGTTCTGTACACAGGCGATCTCGCGATGTCTAACTGCTAACTTGTATTGTTCCACACTGTTCCCTGAAACGAATATGAGTAAGCTATCTCAGAAGGGTTGGGCAGAGCGTCTCACATGGGCCTCGATCGAATTCCAATGCGGCCCGTCCATCATCCAGAAACTCTCGACCTGTTGATGGGCCGACAGCAAAGCGATGCCCTGTGCTTTGAGATCCATTCTCTTTCGTGGGCACGCATGTATCGGGAGAATCCAGATCGGACGAGTAGTATAAACTTCCATATTGGACGAATGATGTGGACATCCAGGCCCTTTGATACTTGGAGATTGACTTTGCGACTTCCAATCTCTCCCTGATGTCTAAACTGGGCCAGATCTTCTTAAGTTGGACGCCTGTAACCATCTCCATTTAGATGTATTCCGCGCCCACGGGATTCTTGTTTGCTTTGGAGCTCCAATCTAGCACTCTGGGTACCGGGGTCCCTAGATGATTTCGGACAAAATCCATGGTGGCCACTTCACTGGCGGTGGTATAATGAGCCCGCCCCGCGCTAGGGGTGGGAATCTTCTCCACCACTTGCGTATCATCTTGCATGGTGAACAGAAACGCCTTGTTGAACATCCCGTCGGGGAACTCTTCGACCCGGGCGCATTCGGTGAGCGTCGAGCCAACGGACTCGGCCGCACGCTTGGCCAATTCATTCATGTTGAAATGGACATCTCGGATAGCCATCTCATGAGCTTCATTCGAAATAAATCGGCCTCTCGTTTACCGGAAAAACTCGGGGTTAGTGTTCCAATCTGTGTGGAGTGGCCGGCTTCGGCTTGCTTTTGTACTCGAAGAACCGTTAGAAGGCCAAGGCATCCCTTGCCGAGTTAAACGAGACGTGAATTTGCGAATCATAAAATCAGCATCATAGATTTGAGTACTATGATCTGACTATATTGGAAATAGCAAGATGCTTGGTGGGATGAACAAATGAAGCAGGGAGTTGGAAATGATTGTTGTTGTTCAGGGTGTTGCTGTACAAGACGTGTTGGGGAAACATTACATAACACGTAGTCACGAGGTTGTAGTTAGTCATCATTTAGTAAGCCAGCTAGTTATTTGCCTTGGTGCTTGGCTCAGTCACATGGCCGTGGGTGGCTTTCAAGTCAATCTCTCCTCACCAACGCTGAGAAGAACAAATGTCGATTGACAGGTGTTGGTTAGATTCGTGACAACATACAGAGTGCACAACAGCCAAGTCAGCTCGGTTTCAGGTGGCGGAGTGTCGGTCGGGCGCGGGGAGGGAAAGGGGGTTATGCAGGACTGCACTGCTGCTTACTAGGTATTCTTATGTAGGTATAGCGTGCTTATGTAGAAAATGTGGACCTTCCTGGCCAGATTGACTACTGTGTATAACTTGGTGAAAGAGCCTATACCCACTGGAACTTGAAATTCAACAGTCACAGTAAGCAGTGGGCTCGAAATTTCAGACTTAGAAGAATATCTCCTTGTATTGTGACAGTCACTAACTGTAGCTGGCAAAACGGGTAGATGAATATTTACCCTGCCTAGCCAGCTAAAGTAGTGTGCAGCTTTTTACGAGTTACTGTGTGACTAAAGGTCCAAACATCAAAACCATGGCCTCGATTACTAGATATACGTATAAAGAGCATGTTCCTAGTTGAGGCTCCTCAACTTGCAAAATATACCATCTGGCAATGGTGGTTTTCCAGCAATATCTAAGGTATTTTACTGGGTTGCATTTGGTTGGCCAGGGAGGGTAGAAGCGGAGCATAGCCCTAAGAACAACCACAAAACCACGTAACTATCATCAAACAGGTGAGGAGCTATTCATCTTCCAACTAATTCCCATCCTCCTTCTTCTTCAACCCATCTAAGATTCCATCCAACGCCTTCCCGCCTGCCACCTTGGGCACCATGGGTAACCTCCCCTGCACCACCACCTCCAACAGCGCCACACCCTTCTCCCCCAGCAACCAGTCCATCCCATCCCTCAACTCCTGACGACACTCACAACGTCTCGCCTTTGCCCCCATACTCTCCGCCAGCCGCACGAAATCCGGATTGCGATGATCGGCCAGGAAGATGCGACCATCATGCGCCGCTTGCTGCACCTCCTGCACCATTCCCTGCTCCTCATTCCGAAGCAGCAACACCTTCACCTCCACCCCATGCTGCACCGCCGTCAGGATCCCCTGCGGGGTCATACAAAAGGACGCATCCCCGTCCACGTCGACCACCGTACACTCCGGCCGCGCCAGCTTCACCCCAACGGCAGCTGGCAAGCCGAATCCCATCGTGCCGAGACCCCCCGAACCGATCACCGCTCGGGGCACGCGAGAACGAAAGTATCGCGCCGTCCACATCTGATGCTGCCCGACTCCGGTCGTGAGCAGGATCTCCTCCTTCCGGTGGCGGGTGCATGCTTCCAACTGCATAATCAGCTCCTGCGGCAGCAGCCCCTGCTTCTTCCCAGGCGTAAGAGGCTGATACTCCAGCGGAAAACGCTGCTTCCAGTCCTGCACCGTGGCTAACCACTTACTTCTCACCTCTGCCTCCACCGGCGTAACCTTCTCCAGGAGTGAAGGCAACGTCGTCCTCAAATCTCCCACCACAGAGACAGTAGGACGCACAACCTTGCCGATCTGCTCGGGACAGATATCAAAATGCACGATCCCGCCCGTTCCCTTGGTTGCGGCGTCCCGCGCAGCAGGCGCAAACCCGTCGGCGTTCCCGACGGCCCGCTCGTCGAGGCGCGCCCCAAGCACGAGGACCAGATCGGCGTTCTGCACCGCTAGGTCGGCGGGTACGGTGCCGTACGTGCCCAGCATGCCTAGTGCTAGGGGCTGGAGTTCGTCGAAGGCGCCTAGGCCTAGGAAGGTGGTCGTCACGGGCATGGCAATGCTATCTATGAGTTGGTTGAGCAGCTCCAGTCCACGATGGGAGCCAAGGAGCCCGTGGCCTGCGATAACGACCGGCTTGCTGGCCTTGTTAATCAAGTTTGCGACTTTGTCTAGAGTTCCTTCTTCTGGCTGTTCAAGAACGGAGGAAGAGCACTTGTCATCGGTCCTGTCGCCATTCTGCACCTGCTCGGGACGGAACCGTGCACCAGATACATCCTTAGGAATAGCCAACAATACGGGCCCCGGTCTTCCGCTGGTGGCTTCCTCGAACGCTCGGGCAAGATACTCCGGTAGCTCTTCAGGTCTCCGCGGCATCCCGCACCACTTCGTGCAGATCTTTCCCAATCCCAGGCTATCGATTTCCTGGAAGGCATCCGTGCCCTGCACGACGGTCGGCACCTGCCCGCAGATGGCAATCAGGGGCACCCCGTCGAGGAGCGCGTCCAGGAGCGGGGTGGCCAGGTTGGAGGTCCCCGGCCCGGAGGTCACCATCACCACGCCTGGCTTTCCCGAGGCGCGGGCGTACCCCTCGGCCATATGACCGGCGCCTTGCTCATGGTGGGCTAGTATAAAGCTGAAGGGGGGATTGGAGTGCAGGCGGTCGAAGATGTCCATGGCCGCACCACCGGTGATGCCAACTGCGTTGTTTATCGGTACGTCATCCCTCCGTTTGAAATACCACCTGAACGGGGAATGAATAGTACTTACATGCGTGTTTGACCCCACGGCGGGCGAGTTCTTCGCAGATATACTCACCGCCAGTTAGCTGAGTTTCTTCGTTGCGAGTCATAATGCGAGGCTCCAATGCTGGTCCCGGTTGCATGGGGCTTCGTATAGACCAGCGAGCCTGCTACCATCTTTATATCCGCAGGCTCGATGGGTGAGAATGTGTCGTTCGGCGAATATTCTCGGCAGTCGTGTGTTCGTTGACACAAGATGAATGACGGCATGAAGAATTTACTCGGCTCGGGCATTAAGGTTGTCGGTCCCCGCCACTGCCTACGTAGCCCCTTTACTACTTCCTGGCTTGGAAGAGCCGAGAGGCGTTACATCAGAAGCATGGTGAGTCTGGGCGGATGGGTCTACAGAATCCTGGCTTCAGCCTGCCAAAGTCAAAGAAAACAAGTATCTCTAATGAGGTAAGTTCTACTAGGCAGGTCAACTCGCCACCCAGGATCCACTGACAAGTATAAAGGACCGTCGACGATAAAGATATGCAAAAGTAGGGTGACATTGCATCGGTCATGAGCGAGATCTCTTGAAAATGACCATCAGCTGCTGAAGATCTAGTCCGACACGGTCGAGTCGCTGGATCCGATCTATTGCGGGGCTGGATCGAGGAATTTCTCTAGCTGCAGCAACCCCCAAAACCACACAACCGATACCCACTCGAGGATCATCATACGTAGATAGGAATGCGACTTCGGAATTAGGAGATCCGTGGGGTCATTCCAGGGAACGGAGAGTCCCGATGCGGAGCGGCATGCATTTCCTGGTGGTACAGCGGAACCTGCAGATCACCCACCCCGGTAGCCCTAATCGTCATCCAGCACAAGCACCAACTCACCCTATTTATCATACACACATGCTAAGGGGTGGTGTATATCATCTGCCATATTCCAACTCTCACATCTACCATCACACAACACTTCTATTCCAAACATCCACATCACCCTCCCATACTCACCACCATGGCCAACATCAACACCCTGTACCAATACAGCACCATCAGCGCCCTCCTCTCCGGCATCTGCACCGAGGGCCTCGACGCCTCCACCCTCCTCAAACGAGGCACATACGGCATAGGCACCTTCTCCGAGCTGGACGGGGAGATTATTGTCATGGACTCACGCGCCTACCACTTCCCCTCCACCACAACTACCACCGTGCGCCGCCTAGACCCCACCGACACCATCCCCTTCGCCATGCTCACCACCTTCCAACCGACGCACACCCTTCCACTCCCAACAACCACCACCTCGGAGAAGATCACCCTCAAAACCCTCTCCGCCCTGCTCACTCCGCTCCTCGACACCAACAAAAACACCTTCCTCTCCCTCCGCCTGACCACGACCTTCGCCTCGCTCACCACCCGCATCATCCCCCGGCGCAGCTCCCCGCAAGAAACCCTCGCCGACTGCGCCGGACGACAAAAAGTGACCAGCCAAGGCCGCTCGAGAGGGACACTGTTCGGCTTCTGGTCCCCCGCGTATACGGTGGGGATCGGGGTGCCCGGATTCCATCTGCATTTCTTGTCCGAGGACGGGGAGAATGGCGGACATGTGTTGGATTTCGAGGTCGCGGTGAACCACGATGAGGATAGCGAGGGGGAGGGGGAGGGGAGGGGGTTGGAGGTCGCCGTTCTGCGGGAGGTGAGGTTGGAGTTGCCGGATACTAGGGAGTTCGGGGAGGTGGAGGTTGGGGCGCCGAGTGCGGAGATGGTACGGGGGGCGGAGGGGGGTTAGCTGGTTTTTCCTTGCGGGAAGCGGAAAGGGACTTACAGTTGGAGAAGGGGGGTTGGATGAGTTGCGTGGGGAGTAGAGACTGGCTGTGCTTGTTTGGGGTTGTGGGAAGTGGAGGTAATAGTGACCGGAATTTACAGTAAGGTGTGTTGACTGAGGCTGCGAAAAAAATATTTTGAGATCCGACGCAACGTCTCCTGTTTATTTATGGTACGGGTACATATCTTGGATTTACTTGATGTTTATAACTGAGAAGATCAAAAGATCAAAAGTAAGTGCATCATCCGTGAATCGAACACGGGCCTCATCGATGGCAACGATGAATTCTACCACTAGACCAATGATGCTGGTTGTTATTCTTGGCATCTTTCTGTAATCTATGACCGTGTGGATATGCTTGTCCTCCCTCCATGCTCACGTTCGCGTCGCTTGTATGCTTCTATCACAGCAAGAATTGTCTCACTTCTATTATTCTCCCCCAAGAGGTCTCTTTGCTTGTATAATGCATGGCTTATGTAGACTGACTTAGTTATTTGCACGTTTATATGCATGAGTTCGATTGGTAGATTTTATAATGTAGTGCCTGAGCGCAAAATATAAACCTTTACGTTGGTCTCATGGACCACCCTTGGCCATCAGCTGCTTGCATCCCACCATGTAGCAACTGAAGACACCAACACACATGCATATTCAAATTGACCTCACCCAATCCTGCGCTCCTTGAACCTACTCATGCACAAGACCCCGAAGACACGAAATCCACAAGTGATGCAATGCGGTAGCCTCCCCTATCTCCGCGAGCACCATCCAAACCATGTAAACAGGCCATCTACACGACGAATCGGCCCGCAACTGCGTTCCGTCATCCATTCATCCCGGTCATCTCCCGAGACTCCCCGACGATGGCAATCTCGATGGCGGCCATGGAGTGTCGATCTCACAGCGAGCGGAGTGGATCGCTCGCCCCGCTGATCGGCGAGTGTCTACCCATGCAGCGCTGCTCTCTTCTTGCTGCAGATACCCTTGCGGTATTTCCTTGGGCTCATGCACAGCTGCAAGCTAGCTATGAAATGCTCAACATCTCTTTTATGACCTCGTCAAGTCTCTTTTCTATAGTCGCCACATGGCATTCCGGACTGTAGATAGAACGGACCCACCGGTACCAAAGCCCGATACCGCCCGCCGGGTGTGACGATCCCTGCCCTAATTAGCCTCTCTGCCAAAAGCCGGTCGACAGCACATAACCTTGGAACAGCATGTCTCAAAGGGGTTGTGCTTTGCCTTGAAGGAACTATGGTTTGGTCTAGCTGTGAGTCGTGGGGACCGTGTTTCGCAATCGTGGATCAGCCGGAATTAGTGCTTGTGGATGGTCTGAAGCGCAGATTCCCTGCGTTCTTCTGCTACGATTCCCCAGTGGATCCACTAATAGGCTCCCACAGAGTTAATTCGAGAGCTAACCTCGTGGTTCCTGGTTATTGAAAGCTTCCGGAGTGGATCGGAAGTCCGGCAGGTAGATCTGACCTGCACAGCTCCAGCGGAAAGCGCGTCATGCGCGTGGTGATTACAATCTCCTGCCATCCCCTGTTTATAAATCCCCGACTCGAGGCTTGGATGTCCTAGTCAATTTGATTCGCTGAACTGTGAGCCACATAAAATTGCCAGATCGAGAACGCCAGCAGGGTAATGCGAACGCCAAGCTAGAAACCGAACGCCGAGTTAAGACCCAATTCCCCCGCGAGTCATGGGAAAGATATGTACAGTACCCACTGCCACTGATGCACCCACCATTAAGCACGAGGACTATACGCCAATGCAGCCCCGGTCCACCTCGCCCACCCCACCGCCCGTCCTCCGAATGAACCTGGTCACCAGTTCCCTGATCCGCGGTCCGCGGGGGATGTAGTGCGACCCCTGGAAGTACTCCACCTGCGCGTTGGCGCACCGCCCGACCAGCTTCAGCGACTGCCGCTCCGAGACCCAGGTGTCGAGGGCGGCGATGAAGTGCAGCACGGGTGTCTGGATCCGCCGCGCGTAGATCCACTCGTACGTGCGGTGCTCGAACATGAAGGCCGAGAAGGCGATGCAGAAGTGCATGGGTGGGTGGTTAACCTAATCTCCGTTAGAGCTAGATGCCAGATAGCCAGGAAGAGGAGGCGAGCGCACTTGGAAGTAAGGGTTCTTCCTGTTCTGCTCCAGCAAGGCAGTGAGGATGACGGACCACGCGGCCCCGGCGGAGAAGCCGATGACGCCGACGAACGGCCCGTGTTCCGTCAGGACATTCGCCAGCCGCTTCCAGGTGTGCTCGAGGCCCTTGAGCTCGGAGGTCTCGGGGTCGCCGTAGCCCCAGAGCCAGCTGTCGGGCAGTCGGTTGGGCTTCATGTAGGTTTCGTCGCAGGCGTCGATCGAGGAGGCAGGGATCGGGCCGTCCAGATAGAAGAACTCCACGCCCCCGGGATAGAGGCTCTCATGCTGCATGGAGGTGGCGGAGAGGGCTCGCGCGATGGGCTCGTGGAGATACCGCATCTTGCTCTGGAAGGTGTGGGCGGATTGTCCTGTGCCTGCTGTTGCTCAGTTCACGTCCACGAACTTGCACGATTCCGAGTAGATGAGAGACTCACCGTGAAGCATCAAGATCTTCGCTTTGCGCGGCGTCTGCAAAGGTGTGTCGAGATACATATTGACAGCGCCAGACTCGCAACAAGCACTGTCTCAAGCGGGGGAAATCGAATGCTGGATATCCCACAGACCACCTATTTGAAGAACGAGTCGGCTATATATGCATTTCCTCGCAGCTGAGCAGCCAAAGATCCATCCCTCTTGGTTTTTAGGTTTGCCCATGACGATCGTCCCTGAAAATCGCATGTGGAAGAGCTCCTCGATTGGGCATCATGTGTTGTCCCACCACCCAAGGAATTATCGATACAGGTTTCATCCCTTAGTGCCATATCAGAATCTTGCCACTCGCCCTGTTATTTGATGCGATTGGTCGCAAGGTATGAGGGCACCTCAGCGGGCGATTGGTCTCCCACGAGTCGCGGAGGAACCCCCTGAGGGTACGATCGAATCCTGCTCCCCGTATATACCAAGCCCAATCAGAGATTCAGGAATCCAGTGTGTAAAAGCAATCGAGGCGAGTTCTCGATCGGTCCCATCCCGGGAATCAGAGCACGTCATGTCAAACTCTCTAGCCTCCGATCGTAATCTTCGCGACGGCACAGCGAGTAGAACCATGGTCGGAGGTCGGCATCACAGCCACCATCTTGATAGGCTTGATCCGCTAGCCCCTGGACCTTGGCCCAGCAGGTGAGCCCACGTGGAGGTAGTGGTTGTTCACTACGTGGATGAGAGCACGAACTGTAACAGGTAGTCAGTGGTGCGCCCCGCCCATGGAAATGAAATTCCAGTTTTGATATCACCCCACTCACAATTGACTATTCTGTGACTATCAGAATTAGTGCCTGCACCATCACCCCAGTACCTGGTCTGTGTTGTGCCCTCCTGCATAGGCTATAGGAAGCTTTTTCGTCGAAGAATTTCTCGACGCTTGTGGCTGCAGGCGGGATCGACCCCGATCGGCACGGATCGCCGCAGCGGAACCCTAAGCTACTGGTTCCAACTATGGGTGTAGTGGGACGCATGGCAGCGATACGAGTCAGTTCCAACCAAACAAAGCTTTGTATTTTATGGGGTCGATGATTGTGGAATGGAGAGGGGGACATCCAGGAACCGGTAGTATGGATGTGCGGATTATTGGCAATTATGGTGTTGTCGACTGACCTGATGGAGCCGGGTTGTGCTCGGTAGGGGATTTAAAACCTGAGCAATGGACTCAATTGACGCTCTACTTTTCATTTCCTCTCGGTAGTTCATATTCGCGAAAACTCATCGAAACTCTCGGTACTTGCCTCATCATGGCGGGAATTCCCTTGGCAGAGGCTGCAGACGATTCACAACATCCGCCCGACAGACACTTGTTTGGCTTGCTTGAACAGACCGCGCAGCGTTTCCCGAACCATGACGCCGTGGTAGCTCTACGGCAGAGCGAGGAGCAGGGCCCTCCAGGCACTGAATCACCGCAGCCCCTGCGTTGGACATTCTCAGAGCTTCATGCCCGGAGTGTACGCCTGGCGGCTTCCCTGGCGCAGGCGGGAATAGGCAAGAACAGTCGCATTGCAGCTTTCCTCCTCAATGAAGCTGAATGGGCCGTTCTGTTCTGGGCTGCCGCTCGTCTGGGCTGTCAATTCGCTCCATTGGATCCTCGGATGCTCGGGCAGCGCGCAGATGCCCTTCATCTGTTGCGGAAGTTGGAACCTGCCGCAGTCTTCGTCTCGGCATCGTCCATGACCCAGCATCTGGATGCGGCCCTAGAAGAGGGAGGTTTCCAACCTATCTTGAAGGGTATCACCCGGGCGACAGACGAGCAAAACGTTCCTGCAAGCTGGACAACATTGCCGAAGCTAATGGCCAACGCACCAAACGAGTCAATACTTCCTCCGCCACCAACGGACACAGATGACACCATTCTGATCCTCTTCACAAGTGGAACAACATCCCTCCCCAAAGGATGTCCGCATACCACGCTCTCCATTGCTACACCGGGCCTCATGGTGGTGAACACCCTGAACATCGAGCCCAGCGACCACCTCTGCGGGCATTTGCCCAGCTTCCACATTTTCGCGATCGTGATGACACTGGGAACCTGGTTCAGCGGGGCAACAGTCGTCTACCCCAGTCCGACCTTCGATCCCGCTGCGTCCTTGGAAGCCATTCGACTCGGCGCAAAGGTCCATACAGCCTGCGTTCCGTCTATGGTACAGGCCATCGCTGCTCAGCTCACGCCAGAGAGCGGCCCATTAGAAACTCTATACCAGATTGTCCTCGGGGGTGCGTCGCTGTCGCCCAGTATCGTCGAGCTCTGTCTGTCCCTTGGTGCAGATCGAGTTATCGCGGGATATGGAACCACAGAGGGTGTAGCCACGCTATTGAACTTCTACGAGGCTGCATCTCACAAGCGAATCCAGGGAGAGGTATGTCTAGGGCCTCCACGAGCGGGTACCAGAGTCCGAATCTGTGCGCCGGAGAGTCGGGTTCCCATCCGTCGAGGCCAGCTCGGTGAGTTGCACCAGGGCGGTTATCCGATCTTCGGAGGATATCTCGATGCAAGTGCGGTGGAAAACAGTACGTGTTACCAGGAAGATGGCGTGAACTGGTCTGCGACCGGTGATCAGGGGTATATGGACCAGGATGGCAATGTGTACCTGCTGGGCAGGTACAAGGATCTCATCATCCGCGGTGGTGAGAACATCTCGCCTGTCAAGATCGAGCAGTGCTTGACCAGGATTGCGGGCGTTCGAGTACGTATTCTGCCTCTTGAACTGAAACTTCACGCTGAACTAGTTTGTAGGAAGCCTATGTCGTGGGTATCCCTGATCCTGTGGCGGGCGAGGTCCCAATGGCAGTCATTCGTCGAGACAAGTCCGTCGATGTGTCCCCAAGCTCGCTGCAAGCCAAGGTGCAAGAGGAGCTGGGGCGCTCGTTTTCTCCCACCAAGATCATCGAACTGGAGGATGATCTGAAGCAGGATCGCTATCCCACCACTACGACAGGCAAGGTCTTGAAACCCAATCTAAAGACCCTGGTAATTGAGTATCTGGAGCAGCAAGCCTCAGTTGTTTCAGAATCCGGCGACTATGTGGCCCAAATTGCTGCCATCTGGGCGGCTATTACCGGAATGAAGGCAGAGCAGCTCGACCTCGACGCTCCCATCCGCACCTTCGCCGACAGCATGATGATGATCCAATACCTGCATACTGCCACAAAGCGGCTTGGGCGGGTCACCCGGAAAGATCTCATCGAGCACGACACAATCCGGAAGCAAGCGCATCTCATCGCCGATCGTAGCATAGCCAGCATGAAGACACCAGTCGTTAACGTTCATGCTTCCACGGTCGGCGCTCAGCATACCTACCTTGACCCAGCACGAGTTCAGCAAGCCGGCGAGTCGACGCTTCGTCCGCTCAGATTCGGCTGGGACGATGTTGAAGAGACAATGCACGTCACCGACACTCAGACCTGGTTTCTGAAAGATACACTGAGTCCCAGTGCGTTCAAGATCCGCACCTCCTGGATTGCCGCTCCAGGTCTGAGCGCTGAGTATCTCGAGGCGATCCTTCACCTGTGGCTGCATCGACATCCACTTCTCCGCAGCACGGTCGCACAATACGACCAGGACCGAATGGTATGGATGATCATGCGCCCTACCTCACGATGGATGAAGCTGCACATCGCCCACAGCCACGAGGTAGACCACATTTCCTGCTTAACCGGATACAAAGCCGACAACCCTTGGGAGGGATGTGTCGCGTTGCCCGGCCCGTTCCTGAAGGCCACCATCTTCAAAGACCGAGCATCTTCACGCGCGGGAGTGGTTATGCACTGTCACCATGGCATCTACGATGCAGTGACGATCTTCCGGTGGCTGCAGGACTTCAAGGACCTTTTGGCCAACAATGGTCTCCCGCGCATGGATTTCCGCCATTACGGCAGGTTCATCAGCGACTACCAAAAGTACATCTACAGCCAAGCCGCAGAAAACGCCGTGGACTTCCACGTCAAGCGCCTGAAAGGAGTCTCGGCTGCGCAAGACGTTCCCTGGCCCCGACTGTCGACCTGGAACGAGGTCCGGGCCCAAGGCCAGGACCCATTCATCAGCGGCTCGACCAAGAGATACATCCACCTGCCCGGACTCGCCGAGATGCGGCGCGCGTCGAACGTCCCCGTCCCTGTGATCGGCAAAGCCGCATGCGTGTTACTCAACGCGCACCGGACCGGCGTGTCTGAAGCGGTGTTCAACGTCGCCGCGTCGGGGCGTTTCTGGCCTGGCGCAGAGAGCGACGACTCTCTGGTCCAGCATCACCACCCCAACCCCTTGGAGATCGACGGTCCCATGATCGGGTTCTTCGTCGAGCGCGTCACGGTACAACCCACTGAAACCGTCCGGTCGCTGTTGACCCGCCTGGCGGAGGACCAGGACGTCCAAAGCCTGTACACCCATGCCCCCTTCAGCCGGGTGTTGAGCCGACTGCGCGAGCTGGACGCGGCTGCCGGCACGGACGACGCCACTTTCATCGAGCAGGCGGCCTTCACACAGGTCTTCAACTGGCGGCTGGAGCAATATTCCGAGCAAGAGACCGATCCAATCCGCATGGTCGATTTCCGTGGGGGTTATGATCTCGGCCTTATCTGGCTGCCGACCCTCATGCCGAATGACATCCTGGAGCTGGAGGTGATCATGAACACGCTGACGTTTGGTGGGGAGGAGACGGTGGGCTTGATGGAGGAGTATCTTTCCGTGATGGCGTGGTTGTGCGAGGCTGGGAATTTGGATAAGCTCGTGTCTGGGTGTCGTTATGAGGGAGGTGTGTGTTGGTGATGATAAAGGTGGTAGGATTGGTTGTGAGCGGGCGCTGAGGAATGGAGAGGAGTTCTAAGGTGTTTGTTTAGGTTTGTTTGTTGGCCTGGAGGTCATGTGAGAGCTGGCTAGGGATTCATGGCGCCTTAGCAGGAATTGGCACTGTTTGTTGAGAGTTGGCTTTGCGTGTCTAGGAGTAATACATCAAGCACCATCGCCTTAAGTCAGGTACTAGTAAAATGCTGTCTTGTCGGAGTGGTTGTTT